TGCTTAAACACCATTTGAACTTTCCGGGCAACACGCAGCGCCTTGCCGCAATAATATCGTGATCAATGGTGATTTGATGGTATGTTACTGGGATAATTAGGAATGGAATCTCACGATAGTCAATGGATAACTGGTTGGTGGTTGACCTACCCCTCTGAAAAATATGAAAGTCAGTTGGGATTATTCTTCCCAATATATGGAAAACTAAAAAATGGTCCAAACCACCAACCAGATAAATATAATGGATGCTGAATACTAATAATTGCCCGTTTCTGGGTGCCAAACTTGACAAACATACTTCCCCTAAGTTGGGCTCCCTGCCTCGCGAGCGCACACTCCTGCAGGCGACGGTGCTAATAGCAACAAGGCGGGCCCCTGTTGACGACGATAGCTAAGTTCTTTACGTATTTCACTAGGGTTTATGGTATAGATATGCATACATATATAAACACTATTATATAAATGTTAAATAAATATTATACATGTATATATTATTATATAAATATTGTATGTATATATATATATTATTATAGTTAGATGGACACCTTGAATAGGTGATTTTTCTGAACATACATAACCATGACATCAGCACCACGGATCCTGGAAGTTGACCAGTAGCACCCAGTAGGTAATTCCATTAAGGCCATGGTCAATGGGAATTTCAGGATCCTAAAATGGAGGTACCGATTCCATATATAAGGCCTATTTTTTAGGCCTAAATTTCAGTGAATATCAGCACAATTCATATGGATCCTGAAAAATATATGGTACGTAAACACGTAGCTCCATCTGTTGGATCCTGAAACTCTCCCATTGATTCCAAGATGATCATGAAACAAAGGAGTCTTACCCCCAAAGTTGTTGGGAAGCTTTGACCCAAAAAATCTCCAACAACCAGTCCATCCGAGCCATGCCCTTTGTACCCATATAAGTATTAAGTAGCACTAGTATACTGGCTGGTATAACTGCTAATGTGGTAATGTGGTAAATCCAACAATAAACCACCCCCCAATAGAGGTTTATTATTGGGACAAAAAACAAAATGGCACCCAGTCATGGTTAGTTACTGGGATTGTTTATTGATGTATATTTGGGTTTACCACATATCAGGTTTCGGAGTTCACAATCCTGATGACATCAGATACCCTCTGGTAAATTAACATAGACCCTGGCAGATGGGGGTTGGAAGACTAGTTTCCATTGGAAATTGGTGATTTTCAGGGTCCAACTGTTAATTTACCAGAGGGTAGGTGAATCATCCCAGAAAATCAGGGAACCTTCTCTAAGAATTTCCGCTGTCTCGAGGAGAAGACGTGCAAGTTCGCATGCAAGGCGCGGTACATGCGCTTACCCGCCTCGGTGCCGGAAGCGGCGGCCCCACAGGGATGAAAAACTCTGCTCCCCCCAGGGTGTCGATTAAATCATATCAGACTGGTCGTAAAGTGTACAAGTCTCATCAATTTATATCAATTGTCCTTTTTTCCATCGAAATTTGATTTGTTGCTGGGAAACAGCCGCAGTCTGTTGGTTGCTTATCTAAAATTGCAATCCTCAATAGCAAAACTCATCCTCCAAATCCACAACATTTGCGAAGTTTCCATGGAATATCCAAGTGTCACCATACTTCACAGTTTACCCTCTGGTAAACTAACATAACTATGGAAAATCACCATTTTTAATGGGTAAATCCACTATAAATAGCCATTTTCAATAGCTATGTTAGTCATTACCAGAGGGTACATCCACATTCTTTTGCTGCTTCAATCCCCAAGGAACCTTGCAAAATCCACGTATCTCCCAACTGGACATGTCTCAAGAACTGGAAGACGAAAATTCCATCCTTCCATCTCCAGCTTTTTCGTCTAAACACGTGTACGAAAAACATGAACGACAATGACATGAATTCATTGATCATCTTTGATCATCCATTTTCACCATCGAACATGAATTAACCGTCATGCGGCAGATGATCCATTTTGAATCACTTGGTGTCGTATGTTTTATATATATAAAGATGATATACTCATAATCATATATATTTTATGAGTATATCATCTCCCCATTTCTTTTGATGTTTCCCAGGCGACCAATTTTGAGGCTCCACCGGCAAAGGCGCCTTGTCCGTCAGCTCCTCGATGAAGCGATTGTGCGCCACCACGCTGTAGAGGCTCTGAGAGTCCATACGTCCATCGGCCGCCTGGCGAATCCACTGTCACTAAAAGATGGAATACAAATGGAATAAAGATGGAATAACATGCATTTTTTTTGGTTGATACTTATTGTTTTTTATAATATATCATTATCATTATCGTGATTCAATATTATTACCATAAACATTACTATTATTAGTATTACTACTATTATTAGATATCACTATCTATCATTCTCAATATTCTTATTATATATATATATATCATTATCACTATTATTGTTGATTGTTGTTGTTATATATCACTATTACTACTACTAACTACTACTATTATCAAAAAAATGTTATGATTAATTGATTAATTATCAAACTTGTTATGATATTATCCATTCTTAATAATTATTAATTATTATTATTAATTATCATTTCTCCATATCTGGTTGGTGGTTTGAACCCCTCTGAAAAATATGAAAGTCAGTTGGGATGATGAAATTCCCAATATATGGAAAAATAAAAGTCATGTTCCAAACCACCAACCAGGTCTATAATCATCTAATAATCATCTAATAATCATCTAATAATCATCTAATAATCATCTGATGAGCATCTAATAAGCATCTAATAAGCATCTAATAATCATCTAATAATCATCTAATGATCATCTAATAATCATCTACAATCATCTACATACAGTTTGTAACATATTAATAAGTATTATCATTAATCATCTACATTCATCTATATATACTGTTTGTAACATACGTATTAATAATTATTATCATTAATCATCTATAATCATCTATATACTGTTTGTAACATACGTATTAATAAAAATACTTATTATCATTAATCATCTATAATCATCCATATACTGTTTGTAACATACGTTATTATTAATTACAGTATCATTAATCATCTATAATAAATTACAGTATCATTAATCATCTATAATCATCTATATACTGTTTGTAACATACGTTATGATTCATTACAGTATCATTAATCATCTATAATCATCTATATACTGTTTGTAACATACGTTATGATTAATTACAGTATCATTAATCATCTATAATCATCTACAGTATATACTGTTTGTAACATATGTTATGAATAAATTACAGTATCATTAATCATCTAGAATCATCTATATACTGTTTGTAACATACGTTATGATTAATTACAGTATCATTAATCATCTATAATCATCTATATACTGTTTGTAACATACGTTATGAATAATTACAGTATCATTAATCATCTATAATCATCTATACATACTGATTGTAACATATGTTATGATTACCCTCTGGTAATTTAACATAACTATGGAAAATCACCATTTTTAATGGGAAAATCCACTATTATTGGTCATTTTCAATAGCTACGTTAAATTACCAGAGGGTAATTATCATTTCTCCAGATTCTCCAACCATAAAAGCTCCAACCACCAGCTCTGACGCTTCGCTCCGCGCGGCCGCGCCTGGACCAGCGCCTTGGCCAACCACTTGGCGCGGCCGTCGGGACGCTTCTGCAGCACCTGCTCCAACTCCACGGTGGTGGCCGGCGCCTGATGGGGGAGGATTTTTGGGAGGAAAATCCCTGGGAAAACGTGGAAAAACCATGGAAAATCTGTGAAAAAGATGGAGGAATTATGGAAAATCATTGAAAATCGATGGAAAACCAATGACATTTTTCCAATTTTCAGGGAACCTGAGATTTGTTTAAGTCTTTTGATCACTAGTTTTGATCACTGAACATGTTGGGATAATTATGGATAATTGCAAGCTATTGATGTTGATTTGTGCCTACATTGAGAAGACGAAACATCTCTATGAGTGTGGATAAAACCTCTTGAACTTGGGGTTATTTAAAGAAAAAACTAGGGGATGTGACCGAGCAAAGCTGGAGATTAGTCAATGATGTCCCTTTGAGTTGGCTTGGTATACCATTTACTTACCCTCTGGTAATTTAACGTAGCTATTGAAAATGACCATTTACAGTGGATTTTCCCATTAAAAATTGTGATTTCCCATAGCTATGTTAGTTTACCAGAGGGTATACCTGTTGGTTGTAAACCATGGCAGTGTAGGCCCTGTTGGTTCATCACAATCGGAATTTGGGACATCTACGGAGACATCAAACAACCTGGGGGCGGATGATCCAATGGAACCTGGCTCAGCGCTGAAATTCCGACATGATTGTATAAGTCCATTGCAAATAATCCAGGAAATGATTGAGCAAATTACTGTATTTCATGGAATTGTCCATCCTAATGAAAATTTGATAGAATCATTTTGTTTAGTTTCCCTGCCAATGAATGCAATTTCCCTACCAATTTGCATTTTCCCTATCAATTGTATATCATGTGATCTTGATTCAATTCACCAATTTGGAGATAAAGTGGTGTTTGGCTACGTCATAGAAATTGTTTTCCCAGATTATCAACGCACATCTCAACAACAACTCAATGATTCTCCACCCACAAATTTTCGCAAAATCCTGAAAATCCGCCGCTTTGCCTAGAAAAATCCTGAAAATCCATAGCCCCCGCCGCCCTCGTTTCCCCTAAAAATGGCCTTCTCCACCGGCTGCGGCTTCTTGCCTGCGCGGTCACCGCGACGGGCCACCTGGGCGAGTCAACTGTATCGGAAATCAAGACCCAGTACCGCTACTGCAACGTGGTTCATCCCGCAATCACAGTGATGTGGGGCCTGAACATGCTCAAAAAACGGATCCAGTCGAAAAACAAAAGGGGATTTCACAGAACTGGCAGTTTTCCCATGGATCATGGGATATCAACCTCTCCAGCCGACCAGCTCAACCGCCCACGGCTGGCTCTTTTTTGGCATCACACAGCGACGGGGCGGCCCAATTTGGAGACACCTCGGAAGCTTAGAATCTCAGCTGAGGCAGCGTTTTCGAGAACGGGTGAGAAATGAAGAAGTAAATGTTCTATCCCAGATGCTCCATGTATGGCATATTTACCTACATTTGGTTGATTTTTGGGGTAAATGTAGGTGAATATTCATGAATATTCCAGCACCATGGAGCATATGGGTATAGGAAGATGATTTGTTTTCAATATTAGTTTAGCGAAGCGAAATGGGGTAGACATGGGTTGACACCTCATTTCTCTACCGTCCACATCCCAGGCCCGGCCCCGACCTGCGTCGACTGGAGGATCATCGTCCTGGGACCCAAGGAGGCCCTTGGGTGGAGATTTACCAGAAAATATCCAGGGGATTCCAATGGATTTGACTGAATTTACATGGATTTGATACCCATAGGATCCATGGTGCTGCTATATATGCTAACATGGATCCCATCAATAGACCCCAAATGTTAGCATATATATACCAGCACCATGGATCCTATGGGATATGATTTGATAGGGAATTGATTGGGAACTCGTGATGCCATGATCAAGTTACGGATCATGGTCATCCCTATTCATTGCAATCCTTCTATCAGCCATGGCACATATGTTTTGATTGTTCCTCTTTGATGTGGATTGAACCAAATCCGGAGTCCAATTGTCAATTCTACCCGCCAGTGATTCCCATGTTCACGTTGATGAATTCGAAATGTAAACATCTCCTGTATCAGTTGCATTTCCAGGTTTGCTCTTCTACTATCAACATGTTCACTATTTGAAGCGGCGCCTCAGAATTTTCCATAATGGCTGGTGCAGTACATGCCCAATTTTATCATGTTCATGATGACTCCCTTGGTTCCTTCCATCTTGCGCCATCTCCCATGTTTGCACGCCACTATAAGGCTCCCCTCTGACGAAGCACCAACCCTTCCCATGATCCTCCATACAGATCATCCAGCTTTATGGTCCATAATGTGGTATATCCCAGTAGCCAATCATGATTTTTTTGGGTCATGACTTACATAATCCCAAAGAACGAGGGTGGTATTTATTTATATCCCATATTATCCCACCATTATCCTATACCCTAAAAGTCCTAAGGTCGTACTTTTTGAGTCCTTGCCGAAAGTGGCACAAAAAGGATCATCGCCGAGAAACCATAGCAATGCTGAGGTTCTATGGCCGAGGGTTTATAGCAATTTTGTTGGATTCCACGGCCGAGGGTTTATAGCAATGTCATGGGTTCTACGGCCGAGGGTTTATAGTTTATAGCAATGTTCAATCACGATTCACTCACGATTTCTCACGATTCCTGAGCCGCTATGTGTACCTTTTAGGGCCCTAGGGGCGTACTTTTTAGGATCCTGCTCACGATCACTCGCGATTACTCACGATTAAGGATGCTATATATAGCAATGTTCCTTTTGAGGCGTTCCTTTCGAGGTCCGGGACCTCAAAAGGTACATCATGATGTATCAGACATGGACGTACTTTTTGAGTCCTTGGACTTCCAGGGATATCTATTCTATATCCATCCCAGAGACGTCCAGGCCTCAAAGGTCTGATGCCGCACACGGCGGCCAAGACGCCGGCAGCGTCGGCGCGCTTTGGGGCAAAGCAGGAACACCGTGCACAAACTGCACAGGGCCACAAGGACCGGCAGAACCTGGAAGATGCAGCATCTTTGGTATCCTGATAATCCACATCATCTTGGGAAAACTTGGGGGTAAATATATATATATATATAATTATATATATATCATAAATATTCATAATAGATCATCATCATCATCATCATCATCATCGTCATCATCAACAACTCCTGATCGTGCTGCCTCCTCGCTTCGCGCAGGACACTCACAGGTACAGCTGCACGCTGTCGGCACTGGATGGACGGGTGACCCTCCAAAAGCACTGTGAAAGATCCAACCAGCTATAGCCCCACCACAAGCCACCGGGAAGGGTTCCATGAATGGGCCCGCTACACTTGAACAGCTTGAAATGAACAACGGCCACACGTTCATTCTTTCATTCAAGACTAAAGTCAAACCATCATCATCATCAACAACAACAGCAATCCGAGACTTCCCCTTCTCGACAACTCCGAGGTGCTACCAAAAGAAGCATTATCCGTGGCCAGCGCGTCGGCTCGCCAGCAGTTGCAAAGGGTAAGCGGAGCAGTACGAACTGCGTTCCAATTTGACCTCAGTAGGAATGGATCTTCAATCATTTTTCAAAGATGGGAAGCATCTTAAACTCAAAAAACTTACCATAGACAGATAACACGATAACTGACTTTGTTTAGGGAACTCAGCGTTTCTATTGTGACAAGATGAACAATAAACCTTTCACGTCAAGCATCAACTGTGGAGTCTTCCAAGTATCAAAGATCTTCCTGGATTTTTTGGACTTGCTGACTTGCTGTTGTCCGGTGAGTCCTGTTTCAAAACGGAGCCGTCAGTCGTAATTATTTTTTTTGTGTTGGTGAATATGTATTATTCTTACATAACCTATATATAATATAAGCAATATGCAAACCAGTCACACATATAGTTATTCACGATATTCACCCTCAAAAAAATGGACTCCGAAAACAAACCCCCAAGTTAAATACTGGCATGTTTGACATTGTATGCTACATCTGACTGGTAGATACAAATGGCCCAAGAAATCAATGCGACGTTGATCCCTGCCCGAGGTGCGCGGGTTGTCATTGTTGTCATTGATCAACAGCACTGCCAAACCGCCTCGAGGATTTTTGCGTGAATTCCAAAGGTGTGCGGGTCAAGCCATCCGAATCAAAATTTGGGACTTTGATCCACCCCCAGATTGCGACCTCATGTTTTTGAAATACGTAATTGGGCCTTCAATATGTTTGTTCCATTTTGTTCCTGTGTATCTTGTTTGTGAAAAAATCTTACGCTGCAACTTGGGATGGTGAACGGCACATTTTCCAAAACCAGTGTTCCAGAAATCGTGCATGTTGAATCATGTTGAAATATTCTTACCCATACGGCCCATACATGTAGTGTATTTCCACTAGCAAGGTGGCCGTGACAAAAGGCGACATCACCCAAGCTCTGAAGAATTAGCCGCTAGTGTCACTTCCGCAACCTTCAAAACGGCAGCTCTGAAGTAGCCTGAAGTTCTTACAGTACCCTCTGGTAAACGTTTACATAACTATGGAAAGATCCACCATGCTATTAATGGGTAAATCCACTATTTCTATGGCCATTTTCAATAGTTTTCTGTATGTTTACCAGGCCGGGTAATTCCCCAATTCGGAATTTGGAGGGCGTTGAAGTCACCGACACTTTTATAAATGGACGCCACCATCCCATGGCGGCATGACGACAAGTTGCCCAAGTCTTCGACACTTTCATACCTTGGAGTGGGTTTGGGATGATCATGGATGATCCATGACTCGGCATGGAGGGGTCCATGCAGCATTTCCAAGACACACATCCACCGAAAATAGGAAGCAAATGGAAGCAATCACCTGCTGGGTCCCCACACCCCACAGCTTGTGGTGGGATGATGGTCATCGCTTCGTAGTTGTCCACCATTAAACCACCCAGAAGCTGCGTTGGAGTCCACTGGAAGACCAAGCGCTTCTGGATGGAGGTCAATTCCTTGGTAGATGTCGATGTTCATCTCTCTCCCAAAATGATCAAAATGGGCTGCAAGTTGTGGGATTCCCAAGTTTTTCTGTTGATTAAACATCTATTCCACTGTAGATACATCCACTTCAGAAATCTAACAGTTCTTTCAGTTCTTGGAGTTACCAACCAACAGAAATCTATGATTTGGGTGGCCCCACAACCAGCCCCCCCCAAAAAAAAAACGCCGGCAAGAATCGTCCAGGTCGCACTGATGCTCCCCTGGCGGCCATGGAAAAAAATGGGTGAAAAATTGGTGAAAAATGGGTGAAAAATGGGTGAAAAATGGTCTCCCATTCTTTTGCACCATGTTGTTCTTGCTGTGATTTTTGGAACAACATGGTGAAAAATGGGTGCAATCATCCCTCTTGAAGGGAAACATGTGGCGGCCTTAGTCGTGAAGCGAGCAGCTTGTTAAGTAGCACACCAGGCAAGCTGGAAGATCATCATGTCTGTTCCCACAGGAACCTCTAGGAAAATCCGGAGTGCCTAACATAGATTGGCTAATCAAACCAAATTGCTTGGCCTAACCTGGTTCACCCCAACATAACCAATTTAAAGCAAATGGCTTCAGCAACGTTCAGCATCCCAAATGGCTCCTCGCAAGTCGCAGGGTCCGTCACAAATGGCGCTGCAGTTGCTCACATTACTGGCACCTGCAAGGGCCGTGTTTGGGAAGTAGCCCCCAGGGGGACATGGCGAATAGGGCATGGGCCATGGCGATTTTCGCAGCCATTGGGCCATGAGTAAAGCAAAATCCACGCAACGTACCGACACTTGGGGTGTAATTCACAAAGATGAAATCAGTGATTTTGGGGAAATCTAACATTTCTGTCGTTTCAGGGTCGCTATTCTTTACCCAAACAGTGAAGGTTCTGCCTATTTAGAAAGACTGATTTGGGCAATCATTTTTTGTTTGACACATATCCAGAATATACACAATATCCACATGGGGTGGCCTCATTTATGTACTATGGATCATCTTTACCGCATTTTGGGATAATAATTACAGAATCATATTTTTTGTCACTCTCTATTTCCCAACTCTTGCTACTTAAACATAATTATCAGTTGCTGAAGCATGGCCATAGCACCCATTTGTTGCAGCTGACATGCTGATCCATCATGAAGAACCTAAAAATTCTTTAGGTACGCTAACACCAAAAAAATAGTTACCCCATATTGTGGATGATTTTCCCATTCAACATCCATCTATATATATATATATTATATATAAAGGATGTGGATGTTCATGGATCTTCCATTGCCATGACAACCAGAGGGTCCAGCCTGCCAGGTCCAGCAGGTACAAGCGGATGTCATTCTCTTCAGCTCGACTGAAACGTCTCTCCAGGGACAGAAAATGAGGACCTGCAGGGTGAGAGGTACAGTACTGATCCATGGTCCATGTAAAAACCCTAGAAAATCTGGCCTATTATGACCATAGATAAAGACAGCACATCCATTTCAGGGTCCTGAAATTTCCAGTGAAATGGAAGGAGGTTTCAGGGATGCCAGATGCCACAAGATAGAGACACAAGTTTATTCAGTCTCTGTTTTGATGACGATGACGATGATGATGATGACGATGATGATGATGATGATGACGATGACGATGACGATGACGATGACGATGACGATGATGATGATGATGATGATGATGATGATGATGATGGAGTTGCTTTCAATCTGTTATGGGGACCCCCTAACCGCTAGAAATATCTAGAAATGATGATGGGTGACGCACACAATGCGACTCGAGGATTGGAACCAGCGCCCTGTGATTAGGAAATCCAACAAAAAACAAAGCCGCAACGGCCCCAATAATAGACCACATCCTCATTATCTCAAATGATCATCTATTCAAGATGAAAACAAGGAAACAACTAAACACAACATTTGCAGAACACCTAGTTTCCTTCAGACTGCAAACTCACGAACTCAGGTTTCTTGCTACTATATAGACTTCGTCTGAAATGATCATTCCCAGAATCTGTTGGAGGGAGAAATTTAGAGGAAACCTCTCGCCTCTCTGTTATTGATGGTAACAAAAACAATGATTCAAAATAAACGAAAACATGGAAGGTGGTTGAATAAAAGACATTTTACAAAGCCACTAAGTAATTAACTAAGATTAACTAAGGCCATTTGGGGATGATCTCGTTGGAAAAGGGATGATCCACCAGCCTCCGCTTTGGTTCGGCAGGTTCACGGCAGCCAATTCCGTGAGACCCAAGGGATGAGAAGGAAAGGTGTCCACCATCCTCAGTGACTGGTTGGTGGTTTTTCGCCCTACCCCGTCCTGAAAAATGGGCCATGGCTTCCATGGCTACGTTAAATAACCAGATGGTATAAATATATATATATATATATGTACCTGGTTGGTGGTTGACCTACCCTGAAAAATATGAAAGTCAGTTGGGATGATGACATTCCCAATATGATGGGAAAGTCATAAAATTAATTTTCCAAACCACCAACCAGATGAGAATTTCTGACCAAGATTTTTTGGGGCCACTGAGCCACCATGTTCACCCGAACAAAACCAAAATTACCCAAATTTTTGGAAGGTCAAAACTTCTCAACCACCGAACATCTTGATGATTTCGTTGAGAAATGACCAACTCTGGTGGATTTTTGGGTATCCACTCTTCACCAAGCCTGCAGCCTGGCAACAAAAATCCGGACCAGAGGGAGCGGCCACTCGAATCGACCTGATCTGGGCTTCAGTGGATGAGATATCTATCTGCATGACCATTTTGAAATTTTGGGTGAAGAAAATACTAAAATAGTCCTTATTCATCCAGAAAAACTCCAGGTCCCCAAAGATTTTTTAGACCTTAAATTAAAATCGACTTCCGCGAGGTAGTTTGCACCGGCAGTCAAAATTCAAGGCGATCATTCACATCATTTTTCAAGAATGTAATGACAAATACCAAACTCAAATCCTACTTCGGTGCAAAAACCATATGTCTGATGTTCTTCTGGATGTTCTTGCTTACTTTCCAGTAAAACAAACACATCCATAGAAAAAGCACCATTTTCGATAGGTAAATCACCCATATTATTGGGCCATTTTCCATAGCTATGTGGAAAACCCACCATAAAAAAACACCCACCCCATCCCCATCTCAGCCATCGGCACCTGGTAAATGCGCCGCACCGCTGGGTCGTCATTCTCCAAGGCACCCTCGACACCAGCCAGGAAGGTGTGATTCGCGCTGGCAGTGAAGGCCTCTGCCAGAGTTCTAGCGAGTTCCCCTATATTATATAACCGTTCAAACTGAGAATGTGACATATTTAAGAATCAAGAATTCGGATTTTCCAGGTGGTACAACCTCTTTCCGCTGGTCAGATTGGGATTGAACCCATGAAAATGTGTTTTTTTTTAATACTGGATACTATTTAAAATTGGAATTTCAACATCAGGAGGCGGGATATTCACTGTGAATACCATGAAAAAAATGGAGATTTGGGCAATCAGAGCGGATTGAACATGTGCATTCAATGGTGGTCATTCATTGGGATTGGCCATGATTGACCCCCATTCTTTCAATGGTGAGATTTGAGCTTGGGGTTTGAGGTGGTACCACGACCTTCATACAGCGTGGCCATGGCCTTGAGGTCGCGCAAGTGGGTTGCCAGAAAATCCGATACAGTATCAAAAAAAACATATAAAAACTTGGACTGTGAGCACACAGAACCAATCATTGATTGGTCATAACTTTAAAGCATCCATCAGGCCTTCAAGTATTTCCCCAGCTCTCATAAGGTTGGCTGAGAGTATTTTCTTTCAGGGACCACACGTGTTAGCAGTCAATCTCGCGGGTTCCTAGTGAGTGATAGAGGGGTTTCTTACGGTTATCTACCAATGAAAAGGCATGATACACGCAGTTCCAACCCAACGCTTAGGGGCCCATCTAAGAACCACTAGATACCCAAGAGAGACCTTGGACCAACATCATAGTTGTGGCAATAAAATGGCATGTATAGGCCTAAATACACACACACTTAGAAAGTGGCTACTAAGAATTATCTACCATGGCTGCAACCAAGTTATATCTGATGATATTCACACCATTTATGGGTTATCATCATAGTTTGCAACTGAGATGCACATCCAAATATTGTTTGAATGGTTTTGAGGACCTGAAATCACCTGGTTTTGGTGTTTTTGTTCCGGGTTGAATGGAAGACCTCTCATGGTCTGAACCCAAGTAAACAAAAAGCAAGTCTTCCATAGAAAATAACAATGACACTCCATTTCAGCCCCTTATCGCCTGGAAACTAGGTAACTAGGCCCCGAGTTAAGAGAAGTTTTTACAACACCATGGATATGTGGGGTGAAATCACAATGTGCAACCCCCCAAATCACCATCCCGTGCCTCCAAACCCTTGTTGGACACTTCGTTCTCCTCGACAAAGCTCGGCTGATGCGGCAGCCACACAGCCTTCGTCACGTTTCCGCTGTCGGGGTTGACAAAGCTTTGCCAAGGAACCGGGAGCCTGGTGGCGAGTACTGGCGAATGGGATGAAATAAGAAGATTGGTCAAACGTTAAGACTCAGCGGGCCAAAGTTTTTTCCTCAGGTGAAGGTTGTTAGGTTTTATGTCCCTCCTCCTCCTTCTCCCTCCGCCGCCGGACCTCAGCTGCAACACAGCGGTCCCCGCCGCTCCTGATCGCAGTGCCGGACCCAGCAAGCCCAGGATCAGAGTGGTCCGCGCCGGACCTCGACTGCAAGCTCGTGATCGCAGTGGTCCCTGCCGGACCCGAACAGCAACCTCTGGATCCAAGTGATCCCCGCCGGACCTCGACCACAAAGAATCTCCAAAGAGACAAATAGAATGCCAGAAAAATGTCAAAGATATGCCAGATAGAATGTCAGAATATATGTCAAATAGAATACCACATAGAATACCAGAATAAATGTCAGATGGACTGTCAGAATATATGTATATATATATATATAAAGATGCATTTGACTCTTTTGTTCCGCTTCGCAGCTGTTTAGTCAATTATTTAAAAGAAAATAGAGACCCTAACTTGAAACATCACTCCTTGGTCCACCCAAGACCTTTCAAAAAACATACTCTTGCCGGGCCAGACCCCTGGCATAGAGTGCACAAGCCTTCCGTCTCTGGCTAAAGTGCCGAGCCTGGCCTCTGGCCTTTAGATCCACGAGACATCTAAGATGTTTCAGTTAGGAAAAAATAAGAAAATAAACGAATACCCGGACAGCTGAAAGAAAAGGCCTTTTTTCGGCTCTTCATGGCTCTGCGTCTCACAAACCTACCCCCCCATCAAGGTCAAGCCTCGGGAGGGGCAGGGTGGGACTTGAACCAAAAACACTAGGGAACACAGAATTCACCTGCATCTTAAAACCCGGGGGCGGAGGTCTAAAGATGCATTTGACTCTTTTGTTCCACTTCGCAGCTGTTTAGTCAATTATTTAAAAGAAAATAGAGACCCTAACTTGAAACATCACTCCTTGGTCCACCCAAGACCTTTCAAAAAACATACTCTTGCCGGGCCAGACCCCTGGCATAGAGTGCACAAGCCTTCCGTCTCTGGCTAAAGTGCCGAGCCTGGCCTCTGGCCTTTAGATCCACGAGACATCTAAGATGTTTCAGTTAGGAAAAAATAAGAAAATAAACGAATACCCAGACAGCTGAAAGAAAAGGCCTTTTTTCGGCTCTTCATGGCTCTGCGTCTCAAGGTCTTACCACGTCCCCCAGGTCTTCCAGTGGACACTGGAGGCTCAAGTGTTGTAAAGTTCAAAGAGTGAAGAGTTCTTTCAAACACAGCTAAAAAAGGTTTTAAAGAGGGGTGTGACGATGGCAAATTCATGGAGGCTAGCATTGCTAACCCTTCATTGATGTAAATTCTGGCTGTTCGCTGTGAGGCCCACCGGCCCTGAATGAGCAACCGATCCAAATTATGGTGTTTAGAAAACCAGTAGGTTGCGCCCCCTCTCCTGAGGGAATAGGGTCGAAATTGATACTCATGAAGATTCAATGCCTCAAGGCATTCATTGAAAAGTTTCCGCCATTGGCCTGATTTTTTGACCATTGGCGTGGTTGGTAAGGCTACATGTTTCCATTGTTTCACTAGAAGAACAGCGGCCTCATACCCCAGGATGACACTCTCAGCGGCCCCTTGTCGTTTGCCACCCTTGGTCAAACCGAGACTCACAATTACTTGTTTGTCTTTAGGTCCACACATCAAGTGAGCTGATCGAAGTCCATGCACTTCTCCGGTCCTTAACATGGCAAAATACCCGGTCAGAAGAGATACTCCAAAGGAATAATGGCCCTTAAAGAACGCCCACCCCGCCATGGCTTTGACCACGTGTTCAGGTAGTGGCGGTGCCCTTGCAGGTAGCTCATTAATAGACCAGGTCTTTAACAAGCGCCAAGCACCCGGCAAGTGATGCCTCAGATCAGGTTGTACATCTTGAAGTCCGGCCAAGGTGTCATTCGCCAGCGCACGGCCGGCCCCACTGCTCCATAGGTGCTCAATGTAGTCACAGAGCAGTCCATCTAGTTTTTGCTTTTGTCTTGGGAGTTCAATCTGTGCAGAGCGCAAATACGCAAAGAATCCCTCTGTGGCTGCTGTATAGCGGCGCTTGGTGGCTGGTTGCACGGTCAGTTCCTTCAGGCTTCCTAATCTACGGCGTTGAGCCGCCCTGTCCTGTGGCTGTATGGCTTCCAAGATCCTCTTACGAGGCATGACGAAACTTGGTTTTAACCCGCCGCGCCCACCTGGAGGGACGATCGGCTGGGTTATCATCAGTGTGGACGTAAGACCACACTGCTTGGACATTACTAGCCAGGACAAGGGCGTTGACTCGTGCCATAGTTCGCCGAAGCTTTCTGGAACTGCTCCTACCCCGCGACAACACGTGTAAGCACACGTGACTGTCAGTCAGGTGTATCATCCGACAACCGGTTTGCCTCTGTTTTTCAATGCGCCAACGGAGGGAGGTAAATATAGCCCGCAATTCTAAAGCATTGATATGCTCGTGCGGATGCTTCCAGTGCCAGCCAGCTATGATCTTCCATTTCCACAACCGTGACGGGACGCTCGCCCGCAGTCGTTGGAATTTGGGCAGCTGCGATGACGGGGCGTTGAGCATGATGTCTTCGCCCTTAACTGACACTAGGTTGCTGAGCTTGAAGGCTAACTCATAGGGTTCCACCTCAGTGGTTTTGCGTGACGGATTCAAAGGTAGCCTGGCAAGACGCCCTTGTACATGGTCATGGCCACCCGCTCGACACGCATCCAAGACCTCTTGGGGCGTCACCGCCCGAATCCATCCTAGCCAACCAAACAGCTGTGACAGCAGCCAAGCAACCACGGGAACCGACCATGAGTTCCCTAGCAGAGTCAATCGCTGATCGTTGTATGACGGCTTCTTGCGGTCGACTTTGTTGGCACACTGAGCGGTGTAGTGTAGGGGGAAGCCCATCATGACCTCCCTTTCAGCGACGTCAGGGACACGAAATCGCCCCGCGCTGTTGACCAGTGAATTGCTCTCCTTGTACTGATAGGGGGGAAACCTGTAGCAATCCAGATGCCACCTCTCCAGCTCCGCAAGGCTACATTGGTGCACCCCCGCCGGCTTCCGGCCAGCGCGTCCACGTGGGCGACTGGTGGTGAACGTAGGAAAAGGACGAGTCTCATCCACTTTTTTCCAGCCTGCACGCAGCACATCCGCAGGTGCCTGCTGTCCGTGAAGAATGAGAGTCCTTACCTCCCCGGAGGAGTCAATCTGGGCTCCTTCCCCAGGGTCAACTTCCCAGGTGAGCCAGTAGAGGCGCGGTCTATGGCACCAGGTCAGTGGTCCCGCGTCGCAAAGAAGAGGTTCAACCCCGAACCCCGCACTCATGATAGACCGGTCCGTGGAATCCATTGACCCCACCGATTCCATCAGAGTATGTACAGGGCACCAGGGAAAGGCCATTCGCACCAGATGCTGTATGCGTGGTACCTCTGAAAAAAGGCAGGATCTTTCGTCCTTCAGCGCGCCTTTCCGATCAGGGTTTAACCCCGAGACGCCTTGACATGGGGGACCTGCCCCGATCAGCACCAGTGAGCACTGAGAATAGCGGCAGGCCCATGACTTAACCATGTCCTCGTCCACCTCTTGAACAGTCGTCACGCACTCCACACCGGGGAAGTGTGCCTCAACTACTCGTTGGGCAGAAGGATTCGACTCTACCGAAACATGCCCCAACACCTTGACGTTGATCACCTCCAATGCTACTCGCAGTGCTGCAATGCCATCGAATAAACCGATGGAGAAGACGGCCAGGTCTCCGCCTGCTTCAGGGACCTCGCCCCGCAACGACCCTTGCGCAACCATTCCCCCCAAATTAGTGAGTCCAGTCGTAGCACAGAGCCCCCCTCCATAGGACGAGGCGTCACTACACGTGACCATAGGGTGAACGTCAAGGCGAAAATCAAGGCGGGCCAACGGCAAAAGCCCAACAAAGCGTAGAACCTCAAGCCGGCAGTCATGTGGGGTCTCCTGCCGATATTTCCCCAACCTGTCGTAGGAAAGAATGTGCTGCCAGACCTGGTTGAGCGACCCCAGCAGCGGTCTCCGGAACATGCTGAAGTACACCAGCCCGCCACAGACAACTTGCCATTGCTTCTGAGTAGAATAGGTTCGCTGGCACAGGTCCAAGGCTAGGCTGACATATTTAGCCAGCTTAGATTCTCGAGGGTACGCAACCCCGCTCTGGCCATCAACCGTTGCGCCTTGCAGCTCACAGAGCGAAGATCGCTCCACCGCTTTCTTGACGTTCCTAGGCACCTTCCAAAGTTCATATTGCTGTCGAAGGGACAAAACCCCCGCAGCACAGGTGCCCTCAAGGTCCGAAACCTCGCACTTTTTCACCCGCTCCAGGAGGTCGTAGTTATCCAAATACACCCTCCATGCCGGGTTGTGCACAGTGAAGCTCCTATCCTTTCTCAACTCACCAGCGGGCGCATTGTCACTTGGCCCCATGCCTTCGGAGCTCCATGCCACAAGGTTCCTGTGAACATGCTGCGCCAGACTAACGGAGTTCAAAAACCCCATCGGAAGTACTCTGCTAGCCACATAGACCCGCCGACCTTGCAAAGAAGGAGGGAGAATTCTGTCGGGGACCAACTTGTTGAAAGCTAGATACTTGGTCCAGGCACGTGGAACACTCATCGTGTAGAAGAAGCATTTCACGTCTTCTGAACTCACGAGCAGTTGCTCATTGGGTTGCAGGAAGAACGGATTCATGCCACTCCAGCTTGGTAAAGTATCCACATCTCCACTTATGGGTTTACACAGAGCATTCAATGGCACCAGGTTCATTATAAGCCTATGGATGTCAGTTCCATCAGCAGTGGTCTCGTCCTTTGATACCCCAAACATACCGTTGAGCAACGGCCCGGCCGATGTATGGAAAACGTCCTCCTCCAAAATAAAATCGCATACTCCAGTGGTGACGAGCCCAGTACAAACATCGGCCCAATCAGGGTCAGCTACCATTACTTTGGGCTTCGTGATTGGCCCCCATTCTGATGCCGGCTTAATGTATTCATCAAAATGCAACACGTAGTGACGACACCCCAAAGTGCAAACATCTTCCAGTGCTACACTGCCCACATCTGAAGGCAAGGCTGCCCCAACATTGGCCCAACCAAACCACTTGGCAACCTTCACCTCGTCGCCCTTATAGTCTATAGATTTTACACCAAAAAGCTCTTTCCAGTCAACCACCGGAACCTCCACAAGGATGTTAGCAAAACGCTTGATATCCAAAATAAGAAGTTCCAGACAATCTCTTTGAATGCCAGTCACTGGTCCATTGTGAACCACTTCTCCACCCCAAAACGAGTTCAAACTCAAACGCAAAGACATGCACCAAAAAACTTGCTCATCGGTCAACCCTGGGAAGGCATCCAACAAAGAACTCCTAGAGGTAGGCAAAGGAAATAATTCATCACGACTTCCTATGCCCGTGTCCTTGCTGCGAAGTGGAAGAACCCCTAGGAGTAACCCATAAACATGTTGTCCCAACGAACCCAAACACTGCCCACCCAGGTCAATACGCTCAAATTCCTTTTTTGCACCACTATGGACGCGGTCAGCTGGTTCCGCCGCCGTACGGAGGCCTGTACCTGAGCAAGTTTGCTCACTCGCCTCCCTAGTATCCAGGGCTGCCACATGCACTGATTGCTGAGGGACTTCATAGCTCTCGTTATCGGCCTTTAAGCCCTCAGCTGGAGGCTTCGTCTTTTCATGCGCCGGAGGGGCCATTACCATTCCCCTCTGATAGGGCGCCATCCCAAGCTGATCGCCTCCCATGTTGGCCTTTTCAGGGCTCGCCTGCCCCGCCTCACCATTTCTCTCCAGGGCTCTGGCCCCGCGTTCTGGACCAGTTCCTCTGGCCTCCCTAATCAACTGCTCTTGGGAGTCGACTCCTCTCCTTTCTTCTGCCAATCTCCCTTTTGTCCTTTGCCTCTTCCGCCTTTCTTGCCGTCTCCTTTCCTGTAATCCTCCTTGTTCGGGGTTTTTCCTTTTCCCCCGCTCTTCTGTCCTTGCTGTGGCCTCCCATCGGGCAACGATGACATCCACCTGGTCTTGGCCTCCTCCATAGCTACCCGCTGGGCCTCTCGCATTTCCGCCGTAGCAGTGAGCGTAGCCTGTTCCGCCGGGAGCAACTCCAGCTTCTGCGACACACTCCAGTGGACCCCCCCGAGTGTTGACTCGGAGCTCTTGACTCGCTGTAGCAGCAAGTCCAGGCAAGGGGCTGCCTTCCCCTTGAGCAACATGTCTGCTGCTGCACAAAGGGTTAACAGCTCTCGTGCCACTGCTCCTGAGGCTTTGCGTTGGAGAACCTGCCGGTAGTACTGTACCGCTACAGCCTGGCCCGCGGCCGCCTGATCGTCCTCGCCCAGGGTTTGCAACAAGTTCGAGCGCATCTGCCCCAACGCCTGTGCTGCTAGAACTCCCGGGTAGGAATCTGCGATCTGCCTGACTTTTACGGCCTGTTGAAAGACCGTGTCCCCCTCCTCCTCGTAGGGGGCTCCCTGTGAGCTGCCGCTTGACGAACGGGAACTGCTGCTGCTCTTCTTGGCCTTCTTTTTCACATAGCGTCGCGCCAGCTTGAACACCCTGCTCCGGACCCTCTCTGAAGAATCGAGTCCAGTTCCTTTGAAGAGGAGCCGGGGTGCCTTCTGCGCCGCTTTTCGCGCTTGCGTTCCATCCAGGGCTGCCTTCCCCGACACGCTGTCTTCCGAGGGGGATTCCCTCCTCCTCTTCTTTTCCTTGTCTCTCCTCTTTTTCTCCTTCTTGTCCTTGACTTTCCTGTCCTCTTTTGTGTCTGCTGCCTCGCCTACTCCTCCTCCTCTCGCTGGCGCCCCCACTATGCCCCGCTGCATCTGCTCTCTCAGGGCTTCTAACTGGTCTTCGTCCTCTGCAGGCGCTACCTTCTCCAGGTTGTTCGTCCAGGGAGCTTCCCCGTCTCCTGCCTTCAGCTTCCTTAGAACCACGGCATGCACTAGGTCCTCGGAAACTTCCTCGTGATTGCAGGAGGCTGGGCACAAAAGGACCCTGAGCTGCAACTGGGGCGTTCCACTCTGCAGCCGCAGAAGGCCTTCGTCCGTAGTCCCAGTGGGTTGCAAAGTGAGCACAACCCCCGTTTCGGTGACCTTGAACCCCAGGATCTTCCCGGCCAACTTGCACTCCTTGTGGAAATACCTCCCGCTCTCTACTACGATGGACATCTCCTGAACAACCCAGTCTATTTTCAGATCGCCCGCGTTCACATTCCGACCAGCGTCCCATGCTGCCTTGGGATCGTCCGATGGCCGAAATCTCTCGACGCCCGCAGGTCTCCTCAGGGCTCCTCGTCCCCGCACCCGGGCTGGCGCCTTGGCCATCGGCTTGGCCTTGGCTTTTCCCACGGCTTTTGCCTTTGCCTTCACTTTTGCCTTTGCTTTTGGCGGCATTTTTACTTCTGTCCCTTTCTCCTCTTCCAATAATCCACTCCTCTGTTATAATGGGAATACCCTTTCCAACGAGGGTAATTGTTCTCCCGCTGCCCGGACCCGGAGCCTCGGCTATCTCTGTTGTAGCCGTCCTCGCGCCTCCCTTCGCGGGGTGGCGGCCCCACGGGTTCTGCAGGCCTGCGGTGCTGTGCTGGGATGGTTCCCTCTCTGGGCCTTCCACCAGCCGTCCCACGAATGGGGATAGGCTTCAACTCAAACCTCTCTGGATCTCGCCTTACCTCTCTGTCCAAGTCTTCTGTGCTAGGGTGGCTCCTCTTGCGATTGTCCCGTTGTGGGCTCCTTTCTCCTCTCCTATTCCTCGTTGGCGATTCTGCCTCCTTCCCTGGAGACCTTGTCGCTCGGCTTCCAGAAGATCTCAGGGCTCCTCCCCGGTCTCCTCGTTCTTTGTCCCTGATTTCAGGGCTTGCCTCTTCTCTGATCTTGCTTGGACTCTTTGCTTTTGCGGCTTTCTCCTTCCGCTTTGACTTGTGCTTTTCCTTCTTTGGGACCTTGGCTTTCTTCTCTACTTTTTCTTCACCTACGGCAGCTTTTGATTTTTCGCCCTCCTTGTCAACTGCTTTCTCCACTGGTTCTTTCCCAATCTCACCTACCTCTCCGGTATCTGGCACTACTCCACTAGCACCAAAGGGACCGTCCACCCCAACCTCAATGAGGTCACTTAGGGCTCCTGCGCAGTTTCTGAGCGCCCCTACGACTGCCGCCTCTTGGTAGATGCAGAGCTTGCCACTGCGCAGGATCGATCCGACCCTAAAGTAAGTCTTGCAGGCGGCACAGGTGGGAATTCCAGTGAAGATATGGCAGTTAGGACACTCACCCATCTACAACTTGAACCAAAAACACTAGGGAACACAGAATTCACCTGCATCTTAAAACCCGGGGGCGGAGGTCTATATATATACATCATATATATATGTCAGATAGAATGCAAAAGAGAATGTCAAAATAGACGTGTCAAATGGAATTTCAGTTGATGGGGATCACTGGAAGAAAGTAATTCGTCTATTTTTAGTGTTAACATCCAATTTTAGGGGTACCCAGTTTTGACCCATCCCCATAACAAGCAACAAGAATTTGCAGTTCTAAATAACTACCCGGTTTAGTGGGGTCCACTGAAATTTCACCGGGCTTCTCGTACCAACTCATCACCCCTTTGTTGTGAGGGTCCCTTCAGTGCCAGATTCATCTAGGGGTTTCTTAAGTCATACGGGATCCCCACGTGACGCGGTTCAATACGAAAATGCTCTAATTTTGGATTTGGGGGTACCTCCATGACAAATGGAAACCTCCAGATGAAACTCTATATACCATCTGGTTATTTAACATAGCCATGGAAAATCCCTTATAAATGGAGGTTTTAATGGGAACATCATCTATAAATGGGCCATTTTCCATGGCTATGTTAAATAACCAGAGGGTAGGTGAAAAAACAACTCCGAGTCACCCTTCCCAAAGATCTACAGGAAAAAACTTTGAAACTTGGCCTGAAGAAGTGGGAGGGCCGCTCAGAAGACAAGAGCACCTCTCCTGTACCTGGACACCCATCTTTTAGGCGCGTCTCCCATGAAGAAGGCGTTACATATTATGTGACCTATCTACCAGTACAGTTGTCCCAATGTGAAATGCAGTTCAAGATCATCGTCTGCAGTGGGGTTGAATGTAAAACATATTTCCGATGATTTGGTTTGAGGGAAAATTTACAGGAAACCCAAGAATTTCATGGGAAAATCCGTGGAACATCCAGTAAGTTCTCCTTTACACCAATACATTGATAGTTGAAACCACCACGCAGTCTTTGGGTTTGTCTCAGATGAGAGATACAAACCAGCGCTTTTCTGAAGAAACAATAGTTGTCAAACTAAGAGGTGCTGCGGGTACCTAAATTTCGAGATGTACCCATATACTTAGGGGTGCAGTTGGGGTGATGAATGGGTACAACTACCATGGTAATAAGCCCCATCAGTTGAAATCTTACATGAGTATGGTGATGCATCCGCTTATGACCGGAACTGCACCCACAAGTAAAACACCTTCGAGATCATCGATTTTGGCCAAGATACCGTTGTCCAAGGCCATCCCCTCCACGTCCATGGCCATTGGAACACCCCACCTTTGGAACGTCTTTGGGCCACAGGGGTAGAAAGGACAACTTGGTGTATGATTTCAACAATGATGCCACGCCATGCCCTTAACACATATGGCTGGCTAAGAACAGCCCATTGACGTGATATATGATAACCTTAGCTGAAGGATTTGTAATCCCAGTTGAAACTGTTACGGTCCCCAACTGTACAATTTTGGTTCATGTCGCATATAGTTTTGATATTCTCGACCTTTGCAATTGAGCGAAGGACCACAACATCTACTTGAAATGTGTGAGGAAATTGGAAGATCTTATGTCAATGGGATAGGATTGGATGTAGACGTTCAAACAACTAATGACATGTCGAAATCATCTATCCTCCAGAATACAAACCTAGCAATGGAGAAATGATCCATTTACACATTTACAGCTGTTTTTTCCATGCAAAGAAATCAAGATGATTGTTCGATTGCCAGGTCAAATTTCCAGAAAGTATTATGTTTACTGTTGAACATCCCCATGAATATTATATAATACAAGATATAATCTCTATATATACAGTAAATATTATATATATATATTTTTTTTAACATGTGTTGAAACTACTATGATTTTCCTTTCTAAAAAGGATTTATTGACAACTGGTTTGCTTTGATGCAGAAATTACTCGATTTTCCAAGATCTTTCAGGAATCTTCAGACTCCAAAATTTTAGTTTTCCTTGAATATCTGGTTTCATCCCCGTTCCATCCACCATGGTGTTTTTTTTTATCACTTGGACAAGGTGCTGGTCATCTGAGGTGATCTCTGTCCAGTGTTTCCAGCTGATGTTGGAGAGCTTCAGACCCTGGAAATCCTCGGCATCTACGGCAGAAAACGAAGATGACCTGGCCATGGAAGATTTTTTTCGGGAAAACCACATGACTGGTTGGTGGTTTTAACATGTTTGAACCATCTTGAAAAATATGAGTAGGTCAATGGGAAGGATCACATCCCATATATTCTGGAAAATATAAAATGTGCCAAACCACCAACCAGATGAACATATTAACGATTGGTGATGTTTGAGAAAACGCAATGGCAAACATGATTCTGAATGAAGAACTTCGGGAGATGGAGGTTGCCGATAGCATCGGGATACCTTTTTTGGCACACGGTTAGATGAAACATCATTACTCATCGGTTGGCTCGTTACATTTACCATCCATTTTCGGAGCTATCAAATTTTGACCCATATCGCAGCTTCACTAAGAAACCAACAAATCGCATGTACTGTCTCTGAGGCTGCCCCAAAGCCAAACAGAAATCAGGCACAATTTCAAAATCCAGCAATCTGGAACTACCCTCTGGTAATTTAACATAGCTATGGAAAATCACCATTTCTAATGAGAAAATCCACTATTTCTATGGCCATTTTCAATAGCTATGTTAGTTTACCAGAGGGTAATCCACAACGAATTTCAAGACATCATTAAGGCTGGATTCCGGAGGGTTGAATCCCACCATCTTCTGGGCAGAATCCCACCGTGAATTGGTGAATTGCTGCTGCTTACCCTCTGGTAAACTAACATAACTATGGAAAATCACCATTTTCAATGGGAAAATCCACTATAAATGGGTCATTTTTAATAGCTATTTTGACATAACCAGAGGGTAAATCCATTCTGTTCTTTCTCCCCCAGCATCTGCCCATGTGATTCGCTGAAGATTCACCAAGATACTACCCGGGCGCCGTAGATGGCTCCCATGTCACAGAGCAGCAGTAAGGTTTGGAGGTCAGGCGCCAGCAAGCAGGCAGAAATGCCATAGATCCTGCCATGGATGAAATGAGGAACCCCGAGACAGATCCACAAAAAACATTTACATACATTTACCATTATATTCTAACCTGAAGTTTTAAGCGATGTCTTGCAAGGTGTTGGTTCAAGTTTTTCTTATTGAAACAAATTTGTAGCTGACATGGTCGCACCTGACAAACCGGTTGTGATCACCGAATAGCAGCTCCAATGATGAAGAGCAGGAATCAGTGAACACAACGCTTTGACCGCAGAATCGTAGTGTTGATGCGTAGAAACCAATTCTATTTTTTGGGGGTACAGTCAACTTGAAACCGGAAACGTTGCGCTCCTCGAGGAACCCATAGTATATCCAAGAAATGCAGGACCGGGATTTTCGGGTTGAAAATTCATCAAAGAGATGTTTGGGCACTTGGTTACTCTCAATTGTTCCCTCAAATATGGTTGGATATGCATGTAAAATGGTACAACAATTCCGTTCTAGGGACTTGAATTTCCCATTGATACTTGGCACATCCCAACTTCTAGAACTTGACCAAACCAAGAAGGTCCACGGGTTTGTGTCATAATTGTTGATGTGCATCCCAGTTCATGAACATCAAAAATGAGGAAAATGGTAAAATAATCAAAACTATGAGATGGAATCTGTTATCCAATTTACTCCATTTCTGGTCAACACCACAGGGAAGAATCTCCACCGAAGGTGCTGGAAAAAATTAACGGATATCGACCAACTCTCATCATCTCCGTTGGGTTTTTCTGGCAGCGTCATGCCGAATGAATTGTCTTTCCCCAGATTGCCAAAAACATTGACTTGGGATTTCCACAAACACAGCCATCACAATCAGCATCACCATCACCATCAGCATCATCATCACCATCACCATCATCATCACCACCGTCATCATCATCATCATCATCGTCATCATCATCACCACCGCCATCACCACCATCATCATCGTCATCATCATCATCTCCATCAGCATCATTATCACCATCATCACCATCAGCATCATCATCGCCATCACCATCAACATCACCATCAGCATCATCATCGCCATCATCATTATCATCCTCACCATCACCATCATCAGCATCAGCATCCACATCAGCATCGTCATCGTCATCATCATCATCATCACCATCATCATTATCATCATCATCACCATCATCAGCATCAGCATCATCATCAACATCAGCATCGTCATCGTCATCATCATCATCATCGTCATCATCATCACCATCATCATCATCATCATGGGACCTAAGGTATGACTCTATGACTGTTTGTATGATTTCGGTTTATGTTTTTACCTGCCACAAGACGATGCTTTTCCCATGTTGGATTGCAACCAATTGCACAGGCCTCTGGCCCTGAGGCGAAGTGGCTCCGAAGGGTAAGAAAATGGAAGAGACCTGGCGGGAACGGAAACGGCATAGCTGGAAAGATATGATTGATGGGCTTTGAATCAGCACGTGGGACATATAAAATACGCGGTATATGAAGGCATAAGGTGTTATCAGTCAGATATAGTTAGATTCACAGTTAGATACATCTATAGTTAATGGGTTGTAAACCATCTTATGACTGGGGCACCGCCTTGTAGGACTTAAAAACAAGCAACATGTGGGGATAGAACATGTCATACGGGTTTATTGGGATAATGGAAGACATGGTGAACCAAGAAAAACCGGGGGCATGGACATTGGAGAAACTTCTTCTTAGAGGATGACTCATGGGATAAATTAAAAAAGGATCGGCAGTACAAGTAGGTACGGTATGTTTACCCTGTTCCCTTGGCTTGCCGCTGCAAAGGTGCTGTGTGGGCTACTGGCTTCTATGGCTACCTTCTCTTTTGCCACTGCTTTCGCGCGCGCAACTTTCGCGAGAGTTTCGCAAAAAAAATCCTTTGCAGGTCAACCGAACAATCCGCACCCTGAATCGTGGTTGGGGATTCAGCTCCACTTGATTACAATATAGAGCTTGGGTCCATTCTTTGCCTGCCAATAACAATTCAGAAGGTTCTTACTTCACCTGGGAAAATCAGAGATTAAGCTGCTTAAGCCTCCTCATCAAGAGAAACTTTCGCCATTTCTTTTGCAAAAAAATCGCGAACTCAGAAACGAACATCTCGCGCGGTCTCATGTTGGAACCCTGGCAGCCTTGGCAACTAAAAACCCTTGCATGGACCTTTAGAACGGCTCCCATATACCAAATGGCAACACCAAAACACAAATGATTTTTTTTATTCCGCAGTACCCCAAATACCCCAAAATTCAAAATCAGCAAAGTATAGCAATAGACAATAGATAGCAATCCTGGACTATGCAGATACTATTTGAACATATTGGAACTAAGAACACATGATTATTCACTCTGGACTATGTCCAAATACCACAGCCTTTCCAAAAATTATATGTCTGACCCCATGATATGATCACCAGGAAAAAAAGATGCGGTAAACAAGAATAACCTGCTTTTAGGTGCATGGTCCTGAATACACACCAAATGGTACGCTTGGGCAAATTGGGTCTAATGTGGCAAACCCAACAAATCATCCCAAAATCACCAGACATGGGTTGTATTGACCATCCCCAAATGCTACCTAGGTTTATTGTTGGGTGTGACACATTCTTCTTTCCTTTCTTGACTTTCAAAGTTGAAGCCCGTTCCTTGCCAAACCAGGGTGTATCCATGGCCGACATTTCCGGAGAACTCTGCAGCCAAGCTACATGGTCAACAGCACCAAAGACACCATCTGCCATGACCAGGAGACTTCGGCTCGCCAAATCAAAATCCGACCAGCAGGTTTTTATGAATCGTACAGGTTGGTGCTCCAAGAACTTTGCCAAGTTGGTAAATAAACATCTGGGTTAGGGTTTACTATAGATATATGATGGATAATGGGATGTATAACCAACTTGTAACTTGGGGCACCACCTTGTAGCCAGCTGTAGATGCTCACCATATCAGTGTGACTTGCCCTCCATTGATAATATGGAATTTTGCATATAGATCCAAGGTTTGGAATGGTTTAGGCATATCCAACATGAAATGAACCGTGCGGCTCCTTGTTTTGTTTTTGTGAGGCTATCCGCTTGGATGGCGATTTCCATGGTGCCGTCCACCAATTTTCCATGGTGTCTAGAATCTAGAGCTAGAAAATAAGCTGCATGACAGAGAAAAAGGGTAGACCACCACAAGTAGAACTTGCAATCCTTTTTCATATTCGTATGAACTAGATTGTCTCGATGGCTACTGTAGTTGTTCAGTCAGAGTGACGGCTATAGACTCTGGGAACATTTATGTTTCTATAGTCTGCAGTAGGTCGTGAGAAAAATCACTTCTGAACTAATCTAGCTTAGGGTGGTTTCGTAATTTATGGTGAAGTCGCACAAAGGTCGTTAAAATATGTGTCTGAAAATGTGGTACGTTCATGGCCAATTTAACGTGAAAATGATATGATGCATCAGTGGATGGACACCCGGTACCCTATTTCAGATGAAACAAATCTATTTTGGTGCTTCATTTCTTGGTGCTCCTTTGCGCTAGCTGAAAAGCGACGGCCTACCCTATTTCAGATGAAACAAATCTATTTTGATGCTTCATTTCTTGGTGCTCCTTTGCGCTAGCTGAAAAGCGACGGCCCTAGCATTGCAAGAATGGAAACTCGTGGTTGTTTGCTGTTGGACGTTCACCAAAGCAACAAAACAGTAAGACAACAATTGCATAGATGACTGGCAACCGTGCGCGTTTGCAGCTATGGCTACCAATCTTGCATTTTGCGGTTCGATGGCAAATATTTGGTGTGATCTGATCTCTCTCTATCCCTCTCTCTCTCTCTCTTCATCATCATCATCATCATCATCATCCAAAAGGAAGCATATCATCAGCAAAATAGCAACAAGTTTATACAGATTCAACAAATATTTGAACTTTTCATGCCCCCCGGGTCTCATCCTCACTTCATGAATTCATCCACGCATGTCCAACCAAACTCACAGAACCCGCAACCAAAAAGACAAACACGTTTACCGGGAAGGTAAAATAGTATGGTAACCAAAACAGTTGAACATACATTTAAAAGATACCCTCTGGTTATTTGTCACAGTTCGCCATGGGAAATCACCATGCTATTAAGTTCGGTAAACCATCTATTTCTATGGGCCAGCTATACCATGGCGAACTGTTAGTCATAACCAGCTGTTGTCATGGTCCAAAACCCTGGGATTCCCCGACGACTTCAGCGGGAAGGCGCTTGAACATGGGATTGCAATCTCTTGGATCTTCCCGGTCATTGGCGGAATTCCTCAATTTTCACAGCGAAAAACACTGGGATCAGTTCACGTGATTTGTGTTCTCTACGCGAATGTGTTTTCTAAATCAACTGCATGGTGGTACATGTGGCATAAAAAGGCGTTTACCTATGTGCATCTGTGCTCCATCATATTGTGCACATGTAGCAACAACATTTCTGCATTTCACGTGGAAACCGTTTTCCTACCAAGGTGGTTGAACACAAAAAATGTGCCAATAATCCAAACATATACAAACCACCTAATTACTCCAAAACAAATCATATCCAATGTCGTGGTTGCAACTCCCTGCCCCACTTGTCATGCCCCACTTGTCAAGTTTAAACGTTCAGTTGCGGAAATTGTTTGGAAATGCCCGGCGGAAAGAAAACCCAATGTCACACAATGAATTAATGTACGTATTTCAGCTCATGGTGGGGGATCATCATGATCACCATCACCATCGCCATCACCATCACCATCATCATCATCATCAACATCACTATCATCATCACTCGTTCCCTGATGACTACCATGCCATGAGCATGCTGTTCTTGCTTTATCTGTATCAGCATGAATGATCATCGGCATCACAGTCATGCCGGTGATGCTTTTCATCAGTTTCAACAACAACATCCAGAAGACACGTCTTATCCACCGCTTGCAGACGACCAATCCCTGTTCACCTTCACACTATCGTCCTTTTCACCTTCATCATCGCCAGCACCAACACCGGCCTAGACTCACCAACGCCACGAAACCCATCATACAATTCATCGCGCAAGATTATCATCTAATTATTTATGCATGAGTTCCCTCTGCGCATCCCAACGTTGAAGACGGCATGGCTGTTGCCGCTGAAGTGGCCGCCAATGGCCCGTGCAAGCAGTGCCAAGATGGAATGTGCTTAGATATTCCCAACTTGTGACTTGCCCGTGGCTCTGCGAAATCGGCCTTGTTTGGGGTAGTACAGGGTTAGTATCGTTACTCCTCTCGTGAAGGTCCGAAAATCTTCAAGCAAAAATCAACCACCTCTGGTCCCTAATGAGGTTTGAGATGCTTTGCTGTGTCTGCTCAATGCCTGATTCTTTCGTCACATCCGTCTGCCCTGTGACCATGGGTGCATGATGAAGCCACGAGAAGGTGAGCCTCATTGGTTCCTCAAACATTGTAGCATTGTGTGAGAGAAAAATGTGTTTAAGGCTGGAAAACGAGAAAACACACCGTGGAAACCTAGAAACCTACGATGAATCAAATTCATCACAGATATCATTATCAGAAACACTTGGAAGCTTCATCACCAAACATACTGGGTCATCTTGCAAAGCCTGGGTTACGTGGACAATTACTGCATGTTGTTGTCTCAAATCCATGCGGTTGGACCCTGAGTTTCAGCTGCCATAATCTCACTGGAGGAGGAAAAAGGTACGCATCATGTTTCCAACCACCACCTCTAACTCTATGAGTTGTAGTGCTGATGAACCTTTGCTAAACTTTACTTTTCTGGAAATTCCCTGGGCATGTCTGCAGAGTGAAAACAAACTGAGGCCCTATGCTACATCGGAAAGGACCAAGTCTGGAAGCAACTCCGGCAGACTTCCCTAGTACTGCATCATGTCAACAGAAAAATGCAAGATGTTTGAAATTGTCGGCGGGCACTTCAAGCGCCTTAGGTGATCCAAAACCGTGACTTTGATGTGGTTTCACCCAGAACCAACGTTTTCCCGGAGAAAACAAAAAACAAACAAAAACACGACAAACTAAGCGTTTGGCATCGTTTGGCATCAGCATACCTTGGAAAGAACAACTCGAAAGTTGGCAGCATCCCGGAACCGCCTCCTTCGGGCGAGGCCAGCCCAATGGTCTTATGCGCTTGCTTTTCAGGAACCTGGCGATAGCAAGCCATACGCCACAAAAACCACAAGGGTTGCTTTGCAGTATGTGAGCAGCAGTGTGCTTTGAGAAGCAACCTGCCATCAGACTGCGGTTGCTGACTTGTGGCTTCATACTCCATCTGTCAGGGACTGGCGAATATTTTGGCGATACATTTCTCTGGGCACATGATCTGCGAGCTGCAAGTAAGAGCTTGCCAGGTTTGGACGCCCCATGGCGCCGCATCACTGAGCGGGCACGGTGCATGCAAGAACATCCTAACGTGGGAGGTTCATTTCTAATATACACGCACATATTTATATATATATATATCATTATATATCCTTTCCTAGGTGGGATACGGGGCACAAAGCCTGTCAAGCGCTGTCCAAAAATCTGTGAGAGAAAAGGTCTCCCGTTGCTGGTGATTGTTAAAAAAAAGGCACTTGTTGAAAGAAGGTATACGGATTGCATACGGTGAAAAATAAAATTAAGATCCGAACTTCAAGCCCTAGATCCCTAGGCAAATCATGTCAAGCCACCCACTTCCCAAGAATGAAACATCTGGATTTTCACCAGCCTCGGTCTTCTGCTCGAAAGGCGCCTGACATTGGCTGGTGCTGCTAGCGACTGCACAATGCAAGGATCAAACCCAAGGATTGCTCGGGAAACATCAAGCCTGACCTGTTGGTTTATATTGGGGCATCCTCATTGGTGGTACTGAGCCACTTGCTCCTTTGGTGCAACGCCAGGTGACACTGGTTAACCTTGCCTCAACGATGGGAGTATCGTGAAAGCCCATTGGCGCCAGGTTGGTGTGGCAGCCGAAGCCCGCAGGTGCTGCCCAAAAATCTTTGACAAGGAGTCAATCGGTCAATGCCAATTTCAGGTGGGCAATGTGGATCATTTTCGACTTGTTTTTTTCCAGGTGATCTATGTTGTGCAAAAACTTGTCAATCAGGCGCAAACTGGAAATTGGACAGCATGATGGTTTTGCAGCACGCAGAATGCAAAATGTTGAGGGGGCAAAGCGAATCCCAGAGGAATGGCCGTTCAAACATTTGATTTACCAATGTCTTTTCGGGCGTTTGAAATGACTTCCAGCAGCCTCGAATGAAATAAAAAATCAAGTTTTCAGCGTAGCATCAAGGCTAAATGCTTGCTTCAAATCGCAGTCGGTTTGTGTGTTGGCATGCTCAGCCGAACTCCGGAAATATGTTTTATCAAACTGCTCTTATAAGGTCAGGTCTCTGTTTCACCTTCACTTGTTTTGCGGGGCCCCTGTCGTGGCCAACTACCCCTTATACGGGGTCTCCACATGTCCTTTTGGCCTCCCAGCCCAGCAGCTTGAGCCACAGGTGTTGTTAATCCAACGTCATGAGCAATCTGAAGCGTCCAACGGCTACAGAAAAACATGGAAATTGCCATGCTACAGAAATCAACAGATTTGGGATTCAAATTGCATCCTGCTTCGGCCAATTGTTGGGCCATCTCGCGTCTGATATCTCATGAAATGGGGAGGTACCATTTTTTTTTCCAAGCCATGCGCTCTAAAGCGTCATTTTTCCCCAAGGCAGGCAGCAAAGCACCTGTGGCGAATGCGGACCACTCAATGCCATAACCCATCCCAGTGATCTCCACGGTGGCAGATATTCTGACACAGACAAAGCTGAACCAGCAAATTCCAATGGCAAACAAGTCCTGCTGTGTGTCACTGCATCAAGATCCCCACGCTATCGTTCGCAAAAAATCAGGCATCGTAATCGTAAGGACTGGATTCAACATCTTGCCAGTGGTGAGACCATCAATTCCAGCGCTGAACCATCCCATCAAGGCACATTGCAGAATAACAATTGCAGAAAAATGGATACATTGCGTGGGTATATCGTATTTATCATCGTGATCATCATGGTCTACCATGTTTTCACTATCCTTTTACTTGTATTGTTGATACATGTCAAGCCCTTTACCAGTTAGTTATAAATGGTAATAAATGGTTTTACATGGATCTACTGATATACGTGAGGTTACTATTCCATAAACGGGGTACCTACTTAACTGGCATTTCGGGCCAGGACTGAAAAAATGGTATGGAAGGACAACTCCTTGACGAAGGTCGGCCGGTGAGATCGCCAACACCGCCCATCAGTTCAGTATGTTCATCTTTTTGGGTCCACATGACCCACGTTTCCAAATACCAACAAATTATCCCGGCAAGAAACCTCAAATAATGTATGCTAATGTGGATGATGACGATGAGGATGGTGATGGTGATGATGATGATGACGATGATGGTCATTGTCATCATCATCATCATCGTCATCGTCATCATCATCATCATCATCACCATCATCATCATGAGGATGACAACGCGGAAGATGAAGCCGAGGATGACAAGGTGGAGGACGATTTTGTTGAGAAGAAGAAAGGTGATGATGTTGAGGATGATGATGATGATGAGGATGATGATGGTGATGATGATGATGATGATGATGAGGGTGTTGATGGTGATGGCGATGACGATGCTGATGTTGATGATGATGATGATGATGCTGATGATGATGATGATGATGATGTTGAGGATGATGATGTCAAGGTGGAGGAAGAGGATGATGTTCAGAATTCAGAATGAAGATGAGGAGGAAGATGATGATACTGAGGATGCTGATGTGGAGGAGGAGGACCGATCCCAAGACCGCGCCGCACGTTTTGTGCGAGCGTGCACAGTCGACATGCACTTGGAGATTTCACAAGAGCCACTTTATACGGAAATTTACAAAGAAAATGCCACGCCACAAGAGCCACCAGCTACAGCTCGGTGGCCCCATTTTGTATTATTTAAAAGCAATAACCGGAGACCTCTGAAGCAATCAAATCACTTATAATTCATGTCTGCGTCTTCGCATGGTGCAAAGCTACCAGCCACCGCAAAGCAATGCGCAGCATACTCAACTTTTTTCTCAGGACTGGACTAGCCAACTAAAGGTCAACAGGAATGTCGCTCATGCCAGACTTCATGCCGGTCAACAGCGCCCTGACGCCATTAATGTTGTAGTGCTTGGCCAGGCTGTCAATCGCGCTGCCAGAAGTAAAGGGAGGCATCAAACCAAGAAACTCTTTGACACCATGGTGGTTGTACTTCCGTTTCAAACTTTCGATCACACTGCCATCCATGCCCGGCTTCATCACACTCAACAGCGCCCTGACGCCATTAATGTTGTAGTGCTTGGCCAGGCTGTCAATCGCGCTGCCAGAAGTAAAGGGAGGCATCAAACCAAGAAACTCTTTGACACCATGGTAGTTGTACTTCCGTTTCAAACTTTCGATCACACTGCCATCCATGCCCGGCTTCATCACACCCAACAGCTCCCTGACGCCATTAATGTTGTAGTGCTTGGTCAGGCTGTCAATCGCGCTGCCAGAAGTAAAGGGAGGCATCAAACCAAGAAACTCTTTGACACCATGGTAGTTGTACTTCCGTTTCAAACTTTCGATCACACTGCCATCCATGCCCGGCTTCATCACACTCAACAGCGCCCTGACGCCATTAATGTTGTAGTGCTTGGCCAGGCTGTCAATCGCGCTGCCAGAAGTAAAGGGAGGCATCAAACCAAGAAACTCTTTGACACCATGGTAGTTGTACTTCCGTTTCAAACTTTCGATCACACTGCCATCCATGCCCGGCTTCATCACACTCAACAGCTCCCTGACGCCATTAATGTTGTAGTGCTTGGCCAGGCTGTCAATCGCGCTGCCAGAAGTAAAGGGAGGCATCAAACCAAGAAACTCTTTGACACCATGGTAGTTGTACTTCCGTTTCAAACTTTCGATCACACTGCCATCCATGCCCGGCTTCATCACACTCAACAGCGCCCTGACGCCATTAATGTTGTAGTGCTTGGCCAGGCTGTCAATCGCGCTGCCAGAAGTAAAGGGAGGCATCAAACCAAGAAACTCTTTGACACCATGGTAGTTGTACTTCCGTTTCAAACTTTCGATCACACTGCCATCCATGCCCGGCTTCATCACACTCAACAGCTCCCTGACGCCATTAATGTTGTAGTGCTTGGCCAGGCTGTCAATCGCGCTGCCAGAAGTAAAGGGAGGCATCAAAGAGCTGAACTCCTGGCGGAGTAGTTTAGATTCCCTGCAAGACTTGACCTTTGGGCCAGTACTATGACTTGAGTGACTTGAGTGCATTTCGGAAAGGCCCTGAAGAACTGCAACGCGCATCGAGAAACCAACTGGCAGAGCACAAGATGGGAAAGAACAGTCAGGAATCAACCAGCTGTGCACCCTATAGACAAAAACCGAACCATGCGAAGGAACCGCCTAAAAACAAAACCGAGTCCCTGGGAATCGTATCACAACGGTCTTTCACACTGGTGGCATTGATCAGAAGAGAAGCCAAGAAATCCAATATCATGTTCAGAAAGCAACTTTGCGTAGCTGCAAAAAGATCCTGGACCAGCAAAACGACCAAGAATAAATGCTTGTTTTGTGCCGTCATCCTGGCTTTTCTTAAGTCAATCAAAAAAGGATCAGAGCGCTCAGTTTGACCAAAACTACCAGAAACAAGTAAATGTCAAGGCTCCTCTGCTGTAAACATTCCACATTTAGATGTCGCATTCCCTTGATTCGCATGCTCCGCATATGTGGCTTGAGTATGCCTGCATGGCCTGGTCCCTGGACGTCCACACCACCGCGATCATGGGTTAAGGGATCACTTAGAGCACCGGAAAGTGGATCACTTAGAGCACCGGATCACTTAGAGCACCATGGGATCACTTAGAGCACCAAAAAAGTGGATCACTTAGAGAACCAGAGAATCATACCTTTAGGGCAACACTTGGGGACACGGGGCTGGGACATGGGGTCATGCACAGCAACCTCATCATCTTTCTTGCTGTCCTGCAGACACAGGCACTGCAGTGCTCTTTGATGATCAGTTACCGGTGGGGTGGGGTGGCATCATCTTTCTTGCTGTCCTGCAGGAGAAGAGCCCTTCTGAACGACAACGGGCTCCACGGGCTCTGCTACGGGCTCTACGGGCTCTACGGGCTCTACGGGCCTTACGGGCCCTACGGGCCTTACGGGCTCTACGGGCTCTACGGGCTCTACGGGCCTTACGGGCCTTACGGGCCTTACGGGCCTTACGGTTACAGAAGAATGGAAAGATTCGAACGTACTCAAAAGTTTCAAAAAAGAAAGTGAATTCTCCAGACCTGAGCGGAAGGCAACACAAAATGCTGATTCATACAGTAAGCAACAGATACACCCAACGATCAAAAAAACATTTGTCAATAACCCAATGGCAAAGTATCGGGCTTAATTAATTACTACTATTTTACAAAGAATATTGGATGCACTAGTATTTAACAATACTAAGTATCTGACTCTTTAACTATAATTAGATATAGATACTCTACATATATATATATATACACGTCTATACTTGAAAAATAGCAAAACATATACATACAGATACTGATTCTGTGGGAAACTCTCGCAAGTCTCCGGAAAACGATTTCTGTTTGACACGGCAGCAAACAGACCCCTTTTTTAGAGATGAAGCGCTGGTCTCTTGTCTGTTTGGACTCACCACATCAAGCATGACAATGGACAAGCTGCAAGCCACAAGGATGTTGTGATATGAACAGCAAAAACATGCTAACATCACAGGGGCATCTGAACGTCTGTCAAGAATACATTCGTTACTGGGGAAGGAGATGCTGAGATCTATCCAAAGACTTCGATGTCTTTTTCTACGCTCCATAGGCCAGATGTTTCTGAATCATCTGTGCATTACCATACGGCACTGCCACTTCTTGAAAAAATCATTCTGAACACAACGAACATCCGACGCAGAAACATGCATGTGTTCCCACATGCGTGAGACGGTTTACATTAAGATCACCTTCGTATAGCTGCGCTATACTACGCGAAGGGCGCGGGGACTTATGAGAAAGAGAGGGCGTTTGGTGCAACCAAAAATGGTCATAGCCCTGCTATTTATGTGAATAAAGTTCCCACCCTAAAGCCTCCCATGGAACAACACGGGTCACTACGCTCGCTCAACAGCTACAAATCTAGTCACAGTCGCGCCGTTCTATGTATATCCTAACGTGACAGATAGAATGTTCATATATACGTCCGCTAGAAAGAGCCAGAATGCATGTCGGATATACTGCAAGAACGACTGCCTGATAGAATATCAGAATATATGTCAGAAAAATGCCAGATACAATGTCAGATAGAATGTTCATATATACGTCGGCTAGAAAGAGCCAGAATGCGTGTCGGATATACTGCAAGAACGACTGCCTGATAGAATATCAGAATATATGTCAGAAAAATGCCAGATACAATGTCAGATAGAATGTTCATATATACGTCGGCTAGAAAGAGCCAGAATGCGTGTCGGATATACTGCAAGAACGACAGAATATATGTCAGAAAAATGCCAGATACAATGTCAGATAGATTTTTCATATATATGTCGGCTGGAAAGAGCCACAATGCGTGTCGGATATACTGTAAGAAAGACGGGCCTTATGCTCATTAAGGGCTCTACGGGCTCCTCGGGCCCTACGTGCCCTACGGGCTCTACGGGCTCTACGGGCTCTACGGGCTCTACGGGCCCGAGCCCTTACGGGCCCTTACGGGCCCTTACTACGGGCTCTACGGGCTCTACGGGCTCTACGGGCTCTACGGGCTCTACGGGCTCTACGGGCTGTACGGGCTCTACGGGCTCTACGGGCCCGTGCGGGCTCTACGGGCCCGCGGGCCCTGACGCAACGGGAAGGACCCGACCCTCCTGCAAACAAAGGCACTGCACTGCTCTTGCATGATCAGTTACCGCTGGGGTGGGGTTATAATGTTCATGTTCCTGTGCGCACACAGGCACAGCAACCTCATCTTTCTTGCTGTCCTGCAGGCACTGCATTGCTCTTTCATGATCAATTACCCGTGGGGTGGGGTGGGGTGGGGTAATAACGTTCATGTTCCTGTGCACACACAAGCAAGACGTTCCTGCTACGTCGTAACATTTTCGTCAAGTGACTTGCAAGACGTTCCTGATACGTTGTAACATCTTCTTGAAGTAACTTGCAAGACGTTCCTGATACGGCGCAACATCTTCGTCAAGTAACTTGCAAGATGCTCCTGATATGTTCTACAGTAACATCTTCGTCAAGTCACTTGCAAGACGTTCCTGATACACTGTATCATCTTCTTCAAGTAACTTCCAGGACGGTCCTGATACGTTGTCATATCTTCTTCAAGTAACATGCAAGACGTGCCTGCTACGTTGTAACATCTTCGTCAAGTAACTTGCAAGATGTTCCTGATACGTCGTAGCATATTCTTCAAGTAACTTGCCAGATGTTCCTGATACGTTGGAACATTTTCTTCAAGTAACTTGCAAGACCTCCCTGATACGTTGAAAACTCTTCTTCAAGTAACGCGCCAGCTGTTCCCGATACGTTGTAACATCTTCGTCAAGTAACTTGCAAGACGTTCCTGATACGTTTCTTTGTCAAGTAATGCCGAAGAGCGGATCGCATCGACTGTTATCGCGTGCTTCAGCGACAGATGAATGCATCCATTTATGTGTCTATATGCCTCTGCGCATATGTGGAACTCTAGCGCTATGATGCGCTATGTATCTCTTATGTCACGTTTAGGCGTTCCAAGCGATCCACTTTCCGGCGCTCTAAGCGATCCACTTTTCGGCGCTCCAAGCGAACCCCCGACCATCATTTACCTCTTATTTTCGTAGGATGGCAAGTGTCAATATGTTTTGGATTTTGCTGCTTTCTGCATTTGGGCCAATGTATTCCGTTTTCATTCAAACTGAACCAGACTGCTTCAAACCTGAAAGCTCAGAATCAAACCTCTGGAGCCACCATCTCTACCACTCCTATTGTGAGTCCGGGGATTGCAACTATGTAGATTTGACGTGGCTGCACAAGCTACTCTCAAAATATGTTGTTTAAGAGAATCTATTTGCTGTTTTTGGTCCGTGCCAAACTACACCACAAAACGGGCGAAAACTCCGCAATTAGCACGCAAAACCCACAAATGGGCACACATCAGGGAATTTCTGCCTGATGTCACAGTGGAAACAGCATGTTCAAGCTACGTCGCACCAGCTTCACATTCCACATGGTCGAAACCTCCACATTCAAAGTTGCTGTGCACCTGCTGCATATGTGTTTTTTCCTTCTGTTCGCATGGGTTGTTTTGGTTGTTTTGGGTTTCTGGAAGGCCATCAAATTGCGGTAGCCTATAGGTTCATGAAAATGTTTGGTTTGTTGGCTGAGGAGTGGAGTAGGTGGGGTGGCAAAATCAACATTTTGGGGTAGAAGGTGTTAGCAGAAAATGCAGATTTTCAAACATGGTCCTCGGTCCTCGACATGGGAATTAGAGGACTCGGTGGAGGTGAAAAAAATGCATATGCAGGTGCAAAGGTGCAGTCAGAGCGGATGTGAATGTTTTGAGACAAACGTGGCAGAGAAAAAGTTCGAACATGCTCATCAGGGAAAAACTTTGCCCTAGGGTGCCACTCAGCCTTAAGACAAAGGTCGTTCGTGCAAACACGCTTTATGGATCAAGTTTCACCGAATGTCCGCAAGTAATAATTAATGGAAAATGTTTTTATTCCTGAATGATTTGGGACATCAGACGCACTGAAAAATGGAAAGATGCGTATCACTCGGAAAAACGTTCTTGAAGATTCGGCAAACAATTTAGGTTGCAGCTGCGTTGCGTTTGACTTCAATTAATTTTAATCAATTTGGGCCTGGTCTGCTGATGTTAAGATACCAGCTGTACTGATTGATTGTGGGTGTGCTCACCTGAGCTCAACCTGCCACGAAGCGCAACGGGCCAATGCTTTTCAAAAGTAATTCAACTCGCTGGTTCTTTTTGATCACACGTAGTTGTAATTGTCAGTTTCCCAGTAATATTGAGTTTTTGAATACGGATAATGCACAACTTGAAATCTAGTAACTTTGAAAACGATTTAGCGATTTAGCGTGAACCAGTCGTGCGTTTGCAGGCCAGGTAGCTCTGTCTCATTCTGGCCACTACTTCACCTATTGCAGAAACTTTTACACTTTTACGATTTGCGCCCATCTGCTAAATTAATGTGAAAATGCGAGGTGCTGGTCTTTATAAGCACGTTGGAAAGCTATTCGATCTGGCAGTCTTTGGAAAACACAGGGAGATCATGGTTCTATGATTATTTACCACCCCATCACCAAAAACCATCCAGGCTCAGCAGTACATGTAGCAAACGTGAATGAAATATCGATACCTGTTCTTTTGCATCTTGTTTTGAGGCCGGCATGAGATCAGGGTACGCTTTCTGGGCCGCGGCATTTTTGCGCTAAATTCTCGCATCAAATGGCTCTTGTGACATGTCCGAATGCAATTCGCCTGCGCAGGCTCGCACAAAGTGCGGGCCTCGGTCTTGGTCTGTGGCATTTTCATTCCAAATTCTCGCGTGAATGGGCTCCTCTGAGATGTCCATGTGCATTTCGACGGCGAAGGCTCGCACAAAGTGTAGGCCCCGGTCTTGGTCTGCGGCATTTTCATTCTAAATTCTCATGTGAACGGGCTCTTCTGAGATGTCGTGCGTTTTGACTGCTCCTGGTGATGTTGTCTAAGAGATCTGGAGAAAGTGGCCCCGAATGAAGAATCCCAGCAATATGGCACCAAGGTGCGAGGCCAACACTGAGGTTTCGGGCATGATCGCTTGAGATTATTAAAGAACACGGGGTGAACGGCTGTGTTTCGTTCTTTCATGAATCACGTTCGATCGAAGAACACCCATGGTGATTGTCAATGTTTTCCCATATTTACCAAAACAAAGTATGAAATTACCAGGTGTTTGGTTGGGCAGCTGAAAAGCATCGATAGAAACGCCTTTCTGGGAAGATTGAACTAAAACCGTCGCGAAAAAAAACAATATTCATAAAATGAAGGACGCAAGAAAAACAATTCCCCTGCGGGCAGAAACCACCCAAAGCCACAACAATCGCGAAAACATTGCCCACGAACCATCACTAGCACATCTAATTTAGCAGCAGGTTTACCCAACGCAGGTTGACCCAGTCCTTCACGCCATTATAGTTATACTTCTGATATAAGATTTCCAGCGCAGGAGGATTCATGCCCCGCAACTTGTCGAGCATCTTCTTGGTTGCCGGGTTCTGTCCTTGTTCGATTTCAGCACTCTGATTGTTCCCGCCTTCTGCTTCCTGGAAAGCATCATTGCTTGCATGAACTTTGGCAATTTCTGATTGATTGTCATGAACAGCGATGAAATCTGTTGAGTCCTCCACAGCCTTGATGAGTTCAGCGTCATCAAGCTGAACTTGTTCATCACTTGCCATGTGCAAGGTAACATCTTCCAGAGCCCGCCGCCCACATGTTGAAGTGGTATGAAACGCGAGAAGGCACAACAGCAACATGCCGCTGAGTTTTTCAGAAGACACAAGGGTTTGATTGATTTGTTTTGATCTGAATCAGCTGCCCGGCCATGCCATGTACATCCATGTACAATATGAAAACCGGCGATTGAGCCCTATAGGTTCCTATGGGTTCTCTAGTTCACAGATCGGTTCCTACAAACTTAAAATGGTTTCCTAACTGTTCACCTGCACATACATTGTTCCAAGATAGGTTTAAAGATGTTCGAGTAGGTTCTCTCACCAAACTTTCACACAAAAAGGTCTTCGCATGACGCAAGTGGATCAAAGTTGGGGATTGTTTGACCATCAATTTTTCAACGCAACTGGGGAGGACCACTTCTTGGAGTCCAAGGCCAATGTTTTACAGCTCCGAGAATCAGATTTCATCAAACATCTCAGAAATGTCCATATTGCTGGCGGGAAACTCATCTGGTTGGTGGTTTTAACCATCTTGAAAAATATGAGTTCGTCAATGGGAAAGATTATCCCATATATTATGGAAAATAAAAGCCATGTTTGAAACCACCAACCAGTCATGATCAGCCAGCGATTTTCATGGGAAAGTTTCCTGACCAGGCGCCTCAACCGAGCATCGTGCAAACAGCCCATGGGTGCTCACGGACATGACCCAATGTATGCACTGTGCTTTTTGCTGTGCCGAAGCTTTAAGATGAAACTTCCATTTGTCATATCATTTCGTTTTTCAAAGTTCTGTTGAAATTGTGGGGAGTCATGAAGTTTATTTAAGATAACAATGTGGGTAAAACAATAATAAACCCTCCCCCAAATCACCATAAATAGGTGGTAGGAACCTTTCCCAAATGGGTGGTTTATTATTGTTGTTTCCCTCGCTATTTAAGTTTCCGAAAAATGTGTATCAAGCGGCTTCTTGCTCTGGTTCCATGATGTTCCATAGCCATGTTCAAAGGCAGGAGCCCTCTTTTTGCAGCTCCCACCTTGAGCTGACACCTGCAGCGTTCAAGTCACAGCTGATTCAATGAATGGGTTTAAGGGAAATCTACAGGAAACAATGGTCTTTTCCATGTGTTCCTATCAAATATAGGGAGGTTCTGCATATATTCCCTTCAACCAAGCCTGGGATAGATATCTGGGATAGATATCGAAATTCAACTTCGAAGCGCCGGCGATTTCTGACTTCACTCGCCCCGCAATCCTCTAGGGCCCTATGGTCAGTAGACTGTTCTGGGGCTTGACACCTAGCTCTCGACTTCTCAAGGTGGAATTCAACAGCAAACGTTGGGAAAAAAACTGAGGCTTTCCAACTTGGAGCCTTCAAGTAGCCAGAAAAAATGGACACAACTGGTGTTCCTATTTCGATTCAATTTGCGATTTCAAACCTATCATATGATTTTAATTGATCCACTTTTCCCACGAATGGATTTTGCAGTGGATTTCCCCTACATGATGAATAATCAAAATTGCTTGTGCCACAAAGTGCCGTCCACACAATCCACTTGGCGCGGACGCAGCTAGTTTGTTCCGTTTTCACGGGCAGCAATGGACTCAGTCTGGAAAGAGGTGTCCTGGAGTGAAATCTGGGAAGTTGCAAAAAACGTTTCACTATTCACTCATAAAAGGAAGAATCCCCAGTTATGCATTTGGGTTATCGACCTGCCTATAATATTGACTGGGATGGACATCCAACCAGGAATCAGAGATAGTAATCCATGTCGCATTTGAAACTCACCCGAGCTCAGAATGGGGGAAGAAACATCTTCAGTCATTCAGTCACCAATTGTTTTGGTGTGCAGCGAATCTCTGGTGGGATGTTTGCCCCGCACGAAGATTTCCAGTATACTGATTGGATGGTGTTGGTACAAGTGGTGCAAATGGTCCAACTGGCATGAGTGCTGTCTTGAAAAGACAACAACCAACGGTTGATACATGTTGACACAACCCTGTTTTCAGAATAGGATCGGGTCTGCATCCACGACTAACAACATCAACGGAACGTGCTTTGCGTGTTTTTTTCCGCGGAAGTTCCATTGAAAACATATGAAAACATGTCAATGCGGCAATGGTGCATTGCAATCCGACCATTGTCAACCCAAGTTCCCGACTCCATGTAGTTAGTTAAAAAACGGTGAGTTCGAGCCGCCATCGACCCGTTCTGGGCAAATTCTAACACTCTTACCTTTGGTATATGTACTTATACACGGAATTATATATGCGGCAGTTGATCAAAATTCCTTTATCCGGGAACGGCCATTCTTCGCGAATAAAAAATGTTCCTTTCGCGAAACTTTCGCGAACTCCATGTTTATCTTTCGCGGAGCCTATGTTGGCCAACAACACCTCTTGCGAAGATTCATTCACCACCTGCCAAATTACGCCAGAGAATCACGGATCACTTCTTGATAGCCTTTTAAACATGCAGCTAGCATCACGGAATCCCTTCTCAGGGCAGATTGTTGCTGACTAGGTTCTTTTTGGCAAGGTTTACTACTGGAAACTTGGAAACTTGGCTACTGCATTTGGAGCTTGTTTCTTGAGACTTCAAAAAGCATCATTAGGCAGTGACAGCGGCAGGTGCAAGAAAGTGCTTCAGGACCATGGCGTTTGGCTGTCGCGAAGCCTCGCCTTTGGGAAGCTCGGCTGCTCCCTAAGAAGGGTGTGATTGTCCACAAGCACCACCACACAGGGAACTGAACCAGAACCAAACCGAAATTCTCTAGTGCCCTTCTCCTGCCGGACCCCGGGGGGCAGTGGGTGGCAGCCCTTTACATAATGATTATAATATCCAACTTTGCGAAACTTTCGCGAAAAAAAATGTGACTTTCGCGAACTCGAAAAAAAACTTTCGCGAGGGTTTCCAACATAACATGCACGGCTTTCGCAATTAAAACTCCTTACAAGGCGATAGCAAGCCGTACGCCACAAAATCCACAAGGGTTGCTTTGCGGGATGTGAGCAGCAGTGTGCTTTGAGAAGCAAACTGCCATCAGACTGCGGTTGCTGGCTTGTGGCTTCATACTCCATCTGTCAGGGATTGGCGAACATTTTGGCGATACATTTCTCTGGGCACATGGTCTGCGAGCTGCAAGGGCTTGCCAGGTTTGGACGCCCCAGGGCGCCGCATCACTGAGGGGGCACGGTGCATGCAAGAACATCCTAACGTGGGAGGTTCATTTTGTATATCTACATATATATATATAATATATATATATATATCCTTTCCTAGATGGAATACAGGAGTACAAAGCCTGTCTCAAGCGCTTTCCAAAAATCTGTGAGAGAAAAGGTCTCCCGATGCTGGTGATTGTTAAAAAAAGCACTTGTTGAAAGTAGGTACACGGTGAAAAATAAATGAAGATCCGAACTCCAAGCCCTCCATCCCTAGGCAAATATCATGCCAAGCCACCCACTTCCCAAGAATGAAACATCTGGATTTTCACCAGCCTCGGTCTTCTGCTCGAAAGGCGCCTGACATTGGCTGGTGCTGCTACTATGGAGACGTTTGGAACTTAGGAACTTATAAGTTAGTTATATCGAACTTATGTTAGCCTATGTTATGATGATGCTAAGTTCAAATAAGTTCAAGAGGTGTTTTTTGAGCAACTTTTCATGAAGATGTGTTTTTTGTTGTTTTTGATATCTTTTTCTCTCACGCAATGAACGTAAATTGTTGGTTTTGATCCACTTTTTGGTAGCGGAACAGGAAAACATCTTGACTTTGCAAGGTTTTCATTGGTGAGACACGTATTTCTTCATTGGCTTTGAACCAAATGCTGGCAGCTGGGTTACGTGGCTGGTCGGTTTCGCTGCACGTTGCAATACATGTCATCACAAGCACGAGCGCGGCAAAGGATTTCCACCGCCATTATGTGCGATAGAATGAGGAACTGTTTTGTAGTAAAGGTCATTTCTTTTTCCTTTTTCATGTGTGTGAGCTGACCTCATGTTCTCCCACCAATTGTTTGAACATGATCTACGAGCCACTGGTCGATTGGCTTTGAACGACCTAATGTACTCGTGAGATCATGTGGGATTTCTTCCGAGGGAAAGCTTTGCATATCTTCCGGATAGCCACCCAGGTTGCGTCTCATTGTGCGGTGGGCATTGGAGCACAGGCCGCACAGAAATTTCTTTCCGTGCAGTCGTCCTTGACTTGCGTCAAAGGACTGTGCGCGCAACCAGCACTTTACCTGTTCTTGCGTCTCTGGTTGAGTTGGCTGCGAGTCCACTGACGCCATGCCTGGCACCGGAGCAAGTTGGCACTGCTATAGAACAGAAAGGGGCCGCGGAATGAACGCATGCATGTTTTATAGGAAAATGAGTACGACAAAATGAGATGTATGCAAAAAACAAGACTTTTGAGGTGAACCCCGCGATCACGGTCCCTATGCAAAAGGCAACTTATTTTGGCCGCGGTCAAGTGTGTGCGCGGTCAAGTGCAATTGACTTTTTCCAATCAATGGAGGACCCCGCGGTCAACGCGGTCACACAGTCATGAAGCTGTAGAGGCACGCCGCGGTCACGCGGTCATGGCCACTCATAGCGCTCACCTTTGTTTTCTGCTGCGGTCACGCGGTCACCGCGGTCAGCCCACTGGAGCCGCGGTCAAACGCGGTCAAACGCGGTCAAGACGCGGTCAAGCCATTTTGAAGCTTTTGCAACATGACCGTTTCTGCCTGAGCTAGCCAGTTGTATAGCTGAGTTTGGCCCAAGTGCTCTCCCTGCACCTGCCCGGCGCCCGGGACAAGAGCCAGACCAGTACATTGAGGGCCCATGGCCATGACGTCGGAATAGCAGCTTGGAAGCGACCCTTCTTTTAGACCCTTCAAAACACCGCATTGCACAGCAGCATGGAGAAGTGGCAGGCGCGTCGCCAGCGGCAGCACTGGGAGAGCAAAGGTACCTAACAAAGAAATCTCAAGAGAGTCCAAACCATGCTTTCTGTATGGATTCTTTGGCTCAATGCTAAATACCAGGAACCGGAAGCATCACTGGATGCTCTGGGAATAAACACGGGAATGTTTTCTCATCGGGACAGCTGCACATTGCGATGAATTAGCATAAGTCTGGACATCGAATTAGCGATCCAGAACCTCCCCTCCCCGCACCCCTTCAAATCAAAGTTGTTTGGGGCTTGGCGGACTGATGTGGTTTGGACGGCTGATGTGCTAGCAACATTGATTTTAGGGGGAGCCGGGGGAAAAAAGGACAGGTTCCTCTATAGAATTAGTTTGACACAGCCGCTCGTGCAACTCGCGGAAACCCTTGATCTACAAATTTAGACACATCTCTGCCCGCCGACAGCACAAACATTGCAAAGCAGTTCGGGCATGGGCTTATATCACGGATCTGAGGCAAGCGTCGCTGAAACACATAGAGCTTCAAGCGGGACCGTAACATGGCAAGCTCTACCTCACTCATACGCCCTCTTGGGCTGTGGAGTGCGCTGAAACTGCACGTCATGAAGTGTGGCTGCTCTGCCTTGTACTGCAAGTGGCTGCCGTACAGGTTCAAGGGCCGACAAATTGTAATGGTTCCAGATTCCAGCCACGAAAGCATCGTGGCAATATCCACAAGCTGGCAATCTGGTCGGTGGTCATCAAGGAGGGCCACGTCCGCATCAACTAAGCCCATCATGGAGCAACTGCCTTTCGTCGGCCCATACCACACCTGGGGGGACAAAAGTGGCCGCCAGAGGCAGGGTAGTGATGGTTCAAACTTGGGTCAACCTATATAAGCACCCCCGTCCGAAAACAAGTTGCAACATGCGGATACATACCAGAGAATACGTTCTTGATTGTAGACAAATGTAGTAAAACTCTGCTATCTATATGTATGTCCATTTCTATATCATCAACCAGCTTGTATATATTGTTCGTCACAGGCAGCGCCCAAACAGGGCCTTCTCGTAGATGGCCGTGAGTGGTCGGATTAGGAACGATTTGCCTTCGTTTCCCCACCCTGAGAAAGTCAGTACGTCACCTTTCGACTTCAATCCGAGTAGCAGCGTTTTTCGAATGTCAGCGCACAACATGGACTCATCCAAACAATTTCCTGCTACTATTTCCCTGGCCGCAACAGCCCAAGCCCTGTCTTTGCAAACACAGGGCGTCTGCAAGGCCGCAAGGAATCGTTGAAAGATAGTCGTAGAACCATCTCGAATGATCCCTTCGCAATGTTCAAGCTTCAAGCATAGACCAACCTGGCACATGGCGCTTGGGCGGCTCATGCTTCCTTTAAAAAAGGCAACCTCTGCCACAACAGACATCCTCGAGGTTGGTAGCCAATGGATATGGAATGTCATATTGAACCAGAATGTGTGATCTTGATAATTGGTTTCAAAGTGATGGATTATAGAATGTGTTCACGAATCGACTTGGAAACTTCTTTCAAACACAAAGGTGTTCCATATTTGAAACCTTTGCATGTGGCAACGACATCCACAACACATTACTTGCTCTACACAAGTTCCAAGCAAAGAAACAAGAAGCCGCAGAACAACCTGGTCCCCTGCCTTCTCAGGCAAAGAGTGATGGTGCTTGAATAAATAAGCAAAGCCTGATTCCCAGTGGCCCTGGCATGGGCAAAAAGTCTCGGGAGCAGTAACGGATCCGACGCCGTCAGGCCCAAAGAAACCACCACTGGCCATAGGTGAATGTCCTTGCTTACTCAAGAACACCGAAAATCAGGCGCTTGCTGCTGACCAGGGGAGAAACAGTAGGGACAAACAAAAATCTGCAATAGCAATGCGTGCAAGAATCGAGAAACCTCGTGGGACCATGTCTGCCAGCTTTGGCCCGCTGCAAGAATTGATCTTGTAAAGATAGATTCACCGCCTCAGCATCGAGCTCTCCCTGAATTGCGTCCAGCAACGGAGGATGCTTGCCATCGCAATGGAACAGAAGAGGTTCTGGATCCAGGGAATCCAGTGGCTTGTGAGCAGTGGGAACAAAGCAGTATCGTAGCATGCACTGGTATTGAAGCTTCCGCTGCCTGGCCATCCCTTCAAGCTGAACCTGGCTGAAGTGGGCAGAGATGTTCTGCTCAGCCAAAGCCTTTTTCCAAGGCAGCCATCTACAGCGTTCCGACAAGTTGGCGCAAACATGGTAGTGCACATCACCATTTCGGTGACACTCCCTAAAGATACGGAGGTGTGTCACTTTTGTTTCATTTGAAAAGCCAGCGTTTCTGAACGAGTTCAGCATACTGTCTTTGATTTCCTCATGGCTTGGTGCGGTAGAGGCCCCCAGACCACTGATCGTGATCAGGTAACTTTTTTGCCATGTCTTCTGATCGATTGCTGAAACCTTCACATCGGTCTCCACCGTGGCAGGCTTGCCGCACACAGCTGTCAACAAACGCCGAGAAAGTTCTCGGGGCACCAATTTCATGCAGGCTGCTATGAAGTCATCCCGTTTCTCTGTCAGCTCCCTTTCATTGATTTTCCCGTCTGACTTGGCAAGCACATCTGCCAGAATGTGGAGCTCCTGGTCAGTCTTGCTTTGCAATACTGCTAGGACTAAGGAGCTGATCGTCTTCTGGTTCAAGAAGTCGAAGCGGCTGGTTGGCTCTGCTGCTTCGTTTCCGGCTTCAGGCAAAAGTGTTTCCCCGGGCACCAGTGGCAAAGGTTCCTCTGACACAGGTGGCACATCTAAGGGTTCTTGTGCAACTAGCAAGTTGGCAGCCGCTTGCTTCCCAAACAGCCGCCGCTGCTTAGTAGGCAAGAGCATGCCGAGTGAGACAGCAGCTGGACTGTTGAGACGGTCTATGATGCCTGCGCATTAACAGCATCACAAAAACATGTGCGATCGGGCGCTCTGAACATGTGGTGATTGATTGATCAAAATTCTTTCATCTATGGAAACAGACATTTTTCGCGAATGATTTTTTACTTTCGCGAATCTTTCGCACACTCCATGTTGAGCTTTCGCGGAACCCATGTTGGGCAACAATGCCTCTTATGAAGGTTCGTTCATCACCTGCCAAATTAAGCCAAAGTATCACGGATTACCTCATGAGAGCCTGGTAAACATGCAGCTAGCATCACAGAATCCCTTCTCAGGACAGATTGTCGCTGGTTGGGCGGTAGCCCTTTATATTTGAAGTGTACAAGAATGACTCATAATATCCAACATTCGCGAAACGTTCGGGAATAAAAAACTATTTTCGCCAGCTCGAAACAAACTTGCGCGAGGACTTTCAAAATAACACGCGCAGTCTTCGCAATTGACACCCTTTACAAGGACCTTTAGATGGATCACCATGTGTCACTTGCAAGAACAGCAAGTTGGTTGAAAAAAGAACCCGCTTACACCGCAAGGGCAGAAAGTGCGGCCCCAGCATGTTTCCTCACATAATGTTGCATTTGCAATAGCATACATGCTGCCAACTGGCTGAAAAACAAGGCAGCTGGAAATTCTGCCGCGAGCCTGATGGTCCATATTCTCAGGCAAGCATTGCAATGTCGATACGTGACCTGGCCGAGAGGGGCACTGGGAAACACCTATATGGTCGTAAGTACTACCGCAATCTACACCACCAAGTTCAGCCAATTTCTGGCGCTTGGAATCACAATGAAAATTCCCCGAAACCATGGCTTGTCACAACAAGAGAAGACGGCTCGTACAATGTAAAAAGGGAATTAAATAAGGGGATCGGGATCCATATAACCATCACAAAATGAGAAGTGAAGCAAAATGAAATGCAAAGTGAAGTAAACATGAAATGCATGCAGGGCTGAGTCTGGCCTGCTCTGGTTCATACTTCGCAACTGGTGCAGGATTTATTCCATCCACATTCCACATGGAGGTGTCTCCCGCTTAGTAAAGGATTATACCCCACTTATACATGGAATATCCCCATTTATATTTGGCTTCAAATGGGTTTTATATGGCTTGTAAACTAAGTACTCACGCGGACACCCTTCCGTGACCAAAAGTGGCATGGTGTCCCCACCTCACTGGCAATTTCAGCTTTCCGCGCAGCAGCGCCGTATCCGCTAATGTAGGCAGCAGCTGTTGCTCCCACGCCCCGATGCAGCACGCAGCAGCGCATCAGCAGGCTGTCCTTCACCAGGGCGTTGCCGTTGATGGAATATCACCATTACTGTTTGGGATCATATAAGGGCTATATAATTATATATATATATATTATAGTATATAAATATGAATTGGAGGTGCATCCCGCTTAGTGAAGGGTTATACCCCACTTACAAATGGAATATCCCCATTTATATTTGGGTTGAAATGGGTTTTATATGGCTTGTAAACTAGGGCATACTCACGCGGATGCACATCCAAACACCCTTCCGTGACCAAAAGTGGCACGGTGTCCCCACCTCACTGGAATCCCAGCTTTCCCGCGCAGCAGCGCTGTAGCCGCTAATGTTGGCAGCAGCCGTTGCTCCCACGCCCCGATGCAGCATGCAGCAGCGCATCAGCAGGCTGTCCTTCACCAGGGCGTTGTGGTTGATGGAATATCTCCATTTACTTTTTGGGATTATATATGGGTTTTATCTATATGTGGCTATATATATATATATACAAATAGATATCTATCTATATCTATAAATATAATATAAATATATATATATATCTATCTATCTAGCTATCTTTCTATCTATCTATCTATCTATCTTTATATATAAATACAAATAAATAAATAAATAAATAAATATATACATATATATATATATATGGATTGGAGGTGCATCCCGCTTAGTAAAGGATTATACCCCACTTATAAATCGAATATCCCCATTTATATTTGGGATGAAATGGATTTTATATGGCTTGTAAACTAGGTCGTACTCACGCGGATGCACATCCAGACACCCTTCCATCTTTCATGACGAAAAGTGGCACGGTGTCCCCACCTCACTGGCAATTTCAGCTTTCCCGCGCAGCAGCGCTGTAGCGGCTAATGTTGGCAGCAGCTGTTGCTCCCTCGCCCCGATGCAGCACGCAGCAGCGGCAGCGCATCAGCAGGCTGCCCTTCACCAGGGCGTTGCCGTTGATGGAATATCCCCATTTACTTTGGGATTATATATGGGTTATATCTGGATTAAAAACTAGTTGCTCATGAGGACGCACATCCAAACAGTTTCCTTGACAACAAGTGGAACGGTGTCGACGGTGTCCCCACCTCACCACAATCTCAGCTTTCCGCACCGTATCCGCTAATGTTGGCAGCGGCGCATCATGCGGATGAAACCCACTAAGCATCCCACTAAGGATTTGCCCCGCTATTTACAGTGTTTGGTTGAAACCCCACTAAGAATCAAAGCAAACCCCACTAAAGATTTGAACGCAAATCCTAATGGCTTGGAGCAAAACCCACTAAGACTTTGTCAGAATTAATAATAAAAGAGAGAAGTAATATTATCTTTATATATTCTTGAAATCCTTAGTGGGTTTTCGTCCGAGACAATAGGATTTGCCAGAAAAGCCTTAGTGGGATTTTCAATATCCTTAGTTGGTTTTCGTCCCAGCCAATAGGATTCCCCAGAAAGGCCTTGGTGGGATTTTTCAACATCCTTAGTTGGCTTTCCTCCCAGCCAATGGGATTTGCAAGAAAGTCATGGGTGGGAATAAATGACATTTGACCCAATTTTCTCGTCCTGACATTGCATTTGAGCCAAGGCAGGTGACAGTGTTTTTTCACCCTGGAACTGAAGCTCAAACTGACGCAACAAAGCGAACGTGTTTATGTGCGAAGGCTCAGCGAAAACAGCTGCTATATACTCAAAAAAAATCCTTCGGAGACAGCAGTTTTTTGATGAAATAGCCGCAGGTGACTGCAACACATTTGTGTCTGTGACTCCTTGGGAGACGGCAGTCATAGGCGTTTCATTCAGTGACACATATAGTTCAGAGGGGGCAAGGTCAGTCAGCCGGCAAGTCTCAAGTTTTTGAAGACTCGATGGCAAGGTCACCCGATCCAGGCTTTGGCGTAAACCAGAGCCAAAACTCAAGCTTTGAAGGCTCGATGGCAAGGTCACCCGCTCCAGGCTATGGTTGACACCCCAGCCAGAACTCAAGCTTTGAAGGCTCGATGGCAAGGTCACCTGCTCCAGGCTTTGGTTGAAATTCTCACCAAAACTCAGGCTACTGACGAGTTAGCTTCAAGGCTAGGAGCCAAGTCAGGTCTTGGGTGCTCAGCTTGCCAGCCGATTTCAACACCCTGCGGCGTTTCTTCTCCTGCCGCAGGACTGAAATGAAATGGAAAGGGTGAAGAGGCAAGTGATGCGATGCAGGCTCAAAGCAACTTCAGCCAGACAAATGTTGATATGTGCAAAATGAAGGTGCGAATTTGGTGAGATGTAGTCTCGATACACCCAGCACAAATATGGCACACAAGGATGAAGTTGTACCCTGCCCGGCCTGTGCCTTGACTTCGCGACTGGCTTGCTGCAGCTGGCGTTTCAAGGCCTGCCTTTCAGCTTTCAAAGCAGCTAGGCGGTCATCCATCCCAGGCGCATGAGCAGCGGCTGCTGCAGCGGCACCTTCCGCAGCATCCGCCACAGCAGCGGCAGCTGACGACGACATGCTCTACTGCGTCAGAGTTGTGTTTTCTGCGTGCTTTGGGCCCAGTGCTGTCTGCAGCCACCCAAGGGCCCAGTGGCAAAAGCCATGCCTTCTGGAGAACTTCCAAATGTGACCATTTTCTCAAGATGCAAAATTAGAAGAGATTGCGACAAAACATGGCCCGTGGGGACCCAAAAATGGGGGCTACCAAATGGTTACAAAGCAGCTCCTGCACCATGTACCCGCATAGTACTCCCAAATACTTGCGAGCATAGCGCAACTCTGTGGACAATGTGTATATAAGCTTTGCAGCCAGAGTTGCCGCTACTGCGTCGACCTCTTCAGTTTCTCCCGCAGGCGCATTAGTCACTGGAGCTGGCGGACGAACCTCGCCATCCTTCCAGTATTCCAATCAAAGTTCTCACGCTTGACTTGCTCACTCTGCGCTCGAGCCACGCAGTTCATCATATACCCAACTTGCTCCAACGAAATCTTTCCATCTGACCTTCGCGGCCAAAGCTTCTTTCAAACGCGGTGCCTGACATCCCCAAAGATCCTCCTCCAAAAGGCTCAAGAGGCTGGCCGCATCTGATGTGGACAGCTGAGCTGCTTTTGAAATTTGAGCCTCCAAAGCCATATATAACTTGTTTCAGACGCATCTCCTGAAAAATCGCGAGCGTCTGCAAGCCTGCCAAGAAATTTTGAGCAGCCTCTAGGTTTTTCTTCAACTTTTGAGCCATCTTCTATGATAATTTTAGTACACTTGAGCCAAAAACTACAAAAACATTGTTTTTTTTAACCATCAGCAACAACATAAAATGTTGTTTTTTAAATCATTTGTTTATCAAGTTTCACGTCATATGTTAAAAAAAACAATGATTTTATTAATTCCTAAGTTCCTTTTAGGTTTTTTTGATGTCATTCAACATAAGTTCCTAAGTTCCTTACATGTTATCAAATTTGTGTATGAACTTATCTTGAACTTAGCTTCTAAGCCCTACTAAAACCCTTACATAGCGTCGAACTTATTTCGAACTTATAAGTTCCTAAGTTCCGAACGTCTCCATAGTAGCGACTGCCCAATGCAAGGATCAAACCCAAGGATTGCTCGGGAAACATGAAGCCTGACCTGTTGGTTTATATGAAGCCACATTGGTGGTACTGAGCCCCTTGTTCCTTTGGTGCATCGCCAGGTGACACTGGTTAACCTTGCCTCAACGATGGGAGTATCGTGAAAGCCCATTGGCGCCAGGTTGGTGTGGCAGCCGAAGCTCGCAGGTGCTGCCCAAAAATCTTTGACAAGGAGTCAATCGGTCAATGCCAATTTCAGGTGGGAAATGTGGTTCATTTTCAACATTTTTCTTCCAGGTGATCTATGTTGTGCAAAAACTTGTCAATCAGGCGCAAACTGGAAATTGGACAGCATGATGGCTTTGCAGTACGCAGAATACAAAATGTTGAGGGGGCAAAGCGAATCCCAGAGGAATGGCCGTTCAAACATTTGATTTACCAATGTCTTTTCGGGCGTTTGAAACTGGCTTCCAGCAGCCTCGAATGAAATAAAAAGTCAAGTTTTCAGCGTAGCATCAAGGCTAAACGCTTGCTTCAAATCGTAATCGGTTTGTGTGTTGGCATGCTCAGCCGAACTCCGGAAATATGTTTTATCAAGCTGCTCTTATAAGGTCAGGTCTCTGTTTCACCCTCGCTTGTTTTGCTGTGCCCCTGTCGTGGCCAACTACCCCTTATACGGGGTCTCCACATGTCCTTTTGGCCTCCCAGCCCAGCAGCTTGAGCCACAGGTGTTGGTCCAATGTCATAAGCAATCTGAAGTGTCCAACAGCCCACTGCTACAGAAGCACGTGGAAATTGCCATGCTTCACCCCTGGAACTTCAACAAATGTCGGTTTCAATTTGCATCCTGCTTCGGCCATGAGTTCGGCCATCTCGCGTCTGATGTCATGAAATGGTGCGGTGCTGTGGGGTCCTTTGAGCCACTGGTCACAATGCCTTTTACTTTTACTTATAAAATATATCGCGCGTTTTATGGGGCACTGAACCTATCTTTTTGCCAAGCCATGCGCTCTAAAGCGTCATTTTTCCCCAACGCAGGCAGCAAAGCACCTGGCGAATGCGGCAAGCTCAATGCCATAACCAATCGCAGCGATCCCCACGGTGGCAGATATTCTGACACAGACAAAGCTGAACCAGAAAATTCCAAAAGGCGACTGGATTCAACATCTTGCCAGTGGTGAGACCATCCGTTCCAGCGCTGAACCATCACATCAAAAGGCACATTGCAGAATCACAATTTGCAGAGAAAGGCGGATATATTGCGTGGGGATATCCTGGGGATCTAACAACTGTATACTGCGGATATCATATTTATCATCGTTATCATCATGTTCTACCATGTTTATCACTACTACCTTTTAATTGTATTGCTAATACAGCTCGGCGGCCCCATGTTGTGGTATTTTTTAAAGCAGTAACCAAAAGCTTCTGAAGAAATCAAATCACCTAGAATTCATGTCTGTGTCTTTGCAAGGTACAAAATCTACCAGCCACGGCGCAGCATATAAAAAACTTTTTCCTCAGGACTGGACGGGCCAACTATAGGTCAATATAGGTCAACAGGAATGTTACTCAAGCCAGTCTGCATGCCGCTCAACAGCTCCCTGACGGCCCAAAGTTCGTCAGGGTAGTGCTTGGCCAGACTGTCAATCACAGTGCCAGAAGTAAAGGCAGGCATCAAAAGAAGAAGCTTTTTGATATCACGGACACTGAAATATACGTAGTTCCGCTTCAAACTTTCGATCACACTGCCATCCATGCCCGGCTTCATCACACCCAACAGCTCCCTGACGGCCCAAAGTTCGTCAGGGTAGTAGTTGGGCAGAGTGTCAATACCTGAAACAGGGTAGTGCTTGGCCAGACTGTCAATCACGGTGCCAGAAGTAAAGGCAGGCATCAAAAGAAGAAGCTTTTTGACATCACGGACACTGAATTTTTTGTAGTTCCGCTTCCAACTTTCGATCACACTGCCATCCATGCCCGGCTTCATCACACCCAACAGCTCCCTGACGGCCCAAAGTTCGTCATGGTAGTGCTTGGCCAGACTGTCAATCACGGTGCCAGAAGTAAAGGCAGGCATCAAAAGAAGAAGCTTTTTGACATCACGGACACTGAAATTTTTGTAGTTCCGCTTCAAACTTTCGATCACACTGCCATCCATGCCCGGCTTCATCACACCCAACAGCTCCCTGACGGCCCAAAGTTCGTCAGGGTAGTGCTTGGCCAGACTGTCAATCACGGTGCCAGAAGTAAAGGCAGGCATCAAAAGAAGAAGCTTTTTGGCATCACGGACACTGAAATTTTTGTAGTTCTGCTTCAAACTTTCGATCACACTGCCATCCATGCCCGGCTTCATCACACCCAACAGCTCCCTGACGGCCCAAAGTTCGTCAGGGTAGTGCTTGGCCAGACTGTCAATCACGGTGCCAGAAGTAAAGGCAGGCATCAAAAGAAGAAGCTTTTTGACATCAGGGACACTGAAATTTTTGTAGTTCCGCTTCAAACTTTCGATCACACTGCCATCCATGCCCGGCTTCATCACACCCAACAGCTCCCTGACGGCCCAAAGTTCGTCAGGGTAGTGCTTGGCCAGACTGTCAATCACGCTGCCAGAAGTAAAGGCAGGCATCAAAAGAAGAAGCTTTTTGACATCAGGGACACTGAAATTTTTGTAGTTCCGCTTCAAACTTTCGATCACACTGCCATCCATGCCCGGCTTCATCACACCCAACAGCTCCCTGACGGCCCAAAGTTCGTCAGGGTAGTGCTTGGCCAGGCTGTCAATCACGGTGCCAGAAGTAAAGGGAGGCATCAAAGAACTGAACTCCTGGCGAATTAGTTTTGATTCCCTGCAAGACTTAACTTTTGGGCCATTGCTATGACTTCTGCGCATTCCGAAAAGGCCCTGAAGAACCGCAACGCGCATCGAGAAACCAACTAGGAGAGAACAAGGTGGGAAGGAACCGTTATGAATCAACGAACTGTGAACCCTGTGAAGTTGCTCCGCACCTGCTGCATATGTGTTTTTGTCCTTCTGTTCGCGCGGGTTGTTTTGGTTGTTTTGGGTTTTTGGAAGGCTATCATGTCGGTATAAGGTCATAGGTTCATGAAAATGGTAGAAGGTGTTATAGCAGAAAATGCGGATTTTCAAACATCGACCTCGACATCGGAATTAGAGGACTGCACGGGGGAGGTGAAAAAATTGCATATGCAGGTGCAAAGGTGCAATCAGAGCGGATGTCAATGTTTTGAGACAAACGTGGCAGACGCAATGAAAAATGGAACAGATGCTCGAAAAATGTGTCAACCGGAAAAGCGTTCTTCGAGGAGATTCGGCAACCAATTTTATGTCCAGCTGCGTTTCGTCTGACTTCAATTAATTTCAATCGATTTGGGCCTGGTGTGCTGATGTTACGATACCAGCTGGACTGATTGATTTTGGGTGTGCTCACCTGAGCTCAACCAGCCACAAAATGCAACGTGTCAATGCTTTCAAAAGTAATTCAACGCTTGTTCTTTTTGACCACATGTTATTGCAATTGTCAACTTCCAAGTAATGTTAAATTTTTGTATACGCAGAATGCACGACTTGAAATTTAGTAGCTTTGAAACCGATTGAGCGATTTAGCGTGAACCAGTGGTGAATGTGCAGGCAAGGTAGCTCTGTCACTTTGTGGCCATTTCTTCACCTAGTGCAGAAGCTTTTACACTTTTACAAGCCGATCTGCGAAATTAATATGAGAATGAGAAGCACTGGTCACGTTAAGCACGTTGGAAAGCTATTCGATCTTGCAATCTTTGGGGGGCACTGGGGGATCATGAATCTGTGATTTTTTGTGCCCCCATCACCAAAAGCCATCCAGGCTCAGCAGTCCATGTAGCAAACGTGAATGAAATATCAAAACCTGTTCTTTGCATCTTGTTCCCCAAACAGCGTGTCCACACTGAGGGGTTCTTACGGTAGGAGTTAAGGCCGGCATTAGATCAGGGTACGCTTTCTGGGCCGCGGCATTTTTTGCTCTAAATTTCTCGCACCAGATGGCTCTTGTGACATGTCCGAATGCATTTCGCCTGCGCAGGCTCACATAAGGTGTGGGCCCCGGTCTTGGTCTGCGGCATTTTCATTGTAAATTCTGGCGTGAAGGGGCTCTTCTGAGATGTCCATGTGCATTTCGACTGCGCAGGCCCGCACAAAGTGTGGGCCTCAGATTGCCTCGGCCTCATTTTTCGTGGCAAGTGCCGTACTTTGTAGATTCTTAGGGGAAGATTGCTGACCGCAGCTTTGCTGACGTCCTTGTTTGACGATCTTTTGAAATTCTCTTAGATATCCTGGTATGAGGTCCTGATGAGTAGACATAGCGTTGCTTCTTGTGCCAAAAGAAGGTCCTGCTGCTGCACTCACGATGATAATGTCTAACCTGATCTGTTACTATTCCATAGCTACTAGTGCTTGTATCTGGTACATTGACTACCTACCCCCCATACTGTTTGGGGTCTCTTGCCGCTGTGTTTTTTGATTATTTTTATTTTCTTGGGGCTGGTTCAAGGGACTGCAGCTTCTTATACTTCCATACTTGGCCGACTCAAAACTGCGGCTCAATCCACCTTGTCAGGGCCTCAGTTGTTTGAATGAGGCCGGGTTGAACTCCAAGAGTTGTTGCGCCCTTTGCTTTACCATGGTTCACGAGAAATTGATATCAGCAAGTTAAGTTTGATCTAAGTTTGAGTTTCTTGAACCCATTGAGAACTCACAAAGAATAGAAACAAACAACCAGGCCAGCAAGCAATTAAAGGTAAACAAGGCTGCGGAAAAAGGGGATTGGGACAAATATCATCAAAGTCCAAAAATGATCAAATAAAGGCACAAGGCCACATGCTGCCCAGAGCGTTAAAGAAATGCGTTTTAGAGCAACGACTGATCAAAAGATGTCCAAAAGCCATCAGGCGATAGGTGCATAGTCTTTGTGGAAACTCAAACTCCTTCAAGGAATGCACAGGCGTGCGTCCCAAGACACCACTGCAATCGGTCAGATAGTCCATATAGTTGTGTCCAGCTGAAAAACAAAAGCCAAGAACATTAATGGAAAACATGTCCATGGAAATAAATACACCCAGCCTAAGCAGGTGAATGACACAAAACATGTATCGGCAGGCAAAGAGGTGTAGCATCAATATTATGAAGACATCGTGTTTGTAGATACTGTATATTTTCCTTTGTGTTGCAATTGTCTTTCACATTTAATGTGTATGACATATAGATACAAGTGGAGATTTACAGTAGTGCAAAATCCTGCACTTGCCAATTCCTAGCAAAAGAATGCAAAAACAAAGTGGGCTGTATATGGTTGTATGATGCATGCTAAAAAGTGACAAAGCAAAACTTGCAAACAAAGGGGGTCCGCTCTAAGCAAGGTCGAGTCCTAACCGCTTTTTCATGTCCAGCAAGCGTGGGGCGTAGGTATAGCTCAAAAGGCCTATCAATAGGCATAAGTTCTCCCGTCTGGCGTCTTTAAAACAATCGTGACTCTCAAACATTTCGCAGGCCTACATGGAGGATCGAATTTCACGTCGGCACGAAACCATGTTTAAAGAAAAACAGGGGATCCTTGATCATGTCATTCGGATCAAACCTCGCAGAACCTCTCAGCAGAGCAGCAAATTTTGTCCTGGTGCTGTATGCTGCATTATGCATGCAATGCTATACGGAAGACCTGTTCCATGCTGGTCTTGTCTAGTTACCAGAGATCCCAAAGAATCCGCCGTCCCCGGCCTTTGCCAAGGCAGGGGCGGCGCCTGGGACCACCGGAGGTGTGGAACTTGGCTCTTTCGTCGCTTGCCACGGCAACAATGGGGATTTTTTTTCCTGATCTCGAAGGGGAATTTTTTTCCTGATCTCGCCGGGGAATTTTTTTCTCCTGCCCCGGGGATTTTTTTTTCATGATCTGTTCTGTTTTCCGTCCCCTGCATCTATCCTGCCACTTCCCTTCCATGCTGCATGCTATTTGCAGCATTTTGGAGCTGGAACCTTTCATTTTGCGTGTTATTTGCAGCATTTTGGAGCTGAACCTTCCATGCTGCATGCTATTTGCAGCATTTTGGCGCTGGAACTCTTCATTTTGCATGCTATTTGCCGCATTTGGGCGCAGGAACCTTCTATTTATCATGCTGTTTGCCGCATTTGCGCGCAGGAACCTTTCAGCTTGCGTGCTATTTGTAGAATTTGGGAGCTGGAACCTTCTATGTTGTTGTATTTGTTGTTACGTTGTGCTGTCTGTTGTTGTAATGTTTGTTGTTGTTTCTTTGTTATGTTTGTTGTTGCGATGTTTGTTCTTGTGATGTTTGCTGTTGCGACGGTTGTTGTTGTGATGGTTGTTGTTGTTGTTGTTGTTGTTGTTGTTGTTGTTGTTGTTGTTGTTGTTGTTGTTGTTGTTGTTGTTGTGGTTGTTGTTGTTGTTGTTGTGGTTGTGATGGTTGTTGTTGTGATGCTTGCTCTTGTGATGCTTGCTCTTGTGACCGTGGTTGTTATTGTGTTTAGAAAGATTGTTTGCTCGCTGGCTCCCTTGCTTGCTTGCTTGCTTGCTTGCTTGGTTGGTTGGTTGGTTGGTTGGTTGGTTGGTTGGTTGGTTGGTTTGCTCGCTTGCGGGCTTGCTTGCTTGCTTGCTCGCTCGCTCGCTCGCTCGCTTGGTTTGCTGGCTGGCCGCCTTGCTTGCTGGCTGGCTGGCTCGCTCGCTCGCTTGCTTGCTGCCTTGCTGCCTTGCTGCCTTGCTGCCTTGCTTCCCTGGCACACCAGTCTGCGAGAACTTAGCCGGGAAAAAAAATCCCCGGGGAGGAAGAAAAAAAATCCCGTAAAAATGGGGTACCCAACAATGGCATCCCAACCCCGCAGGCAAAGTTTGTGGAACTTGGCTCCTTCGTCGCTTGCCACGGCAACACTGGAATCCCCAACCCCGCAGGCAAAGGCACCAAGGCCCATATCAATAGCTTTTTCTTCCTCCAAACGCCTTTTTGGCACCTCCAACCCTGCAGGCAAAGGCACCAAGGCCACATCAATAGCTTTTTATTGGCGTTCAAGCCTGCCAGGCTTCAAACGCTCCAAACCCTCCAAACGCCTTTTTGGCACCCCCAACCCTGCAGGCAAAGTCACCAAGGCCCATATTAATAGCTTTTTATTGGCGTTCAAGCCTGCCGTTTGCCAGGCGTCAAACCCTCCAAACCCTCCAAACGCCTTTTTGGCACCTCCAGCCCTGCAGGCAAAGGCACCCCCAACCCCGAAGGCAAAGGGCCCAAGAATCAATCAATAGCTTTTTATTGGCATTCAAGCCTGCCGTTTGCCAGGCGTCAAACCCTCCAAACCCCCCAAACGCATTTTTGGCACATCCCCTGAGGATCCGATATTGAAAAACTTCAATCCCTGTATTGAAAAAAAATCATTTTCAATAATATTGAAAATGGCACATGTTGGGACCTCAAAAATCAATACCATGATCAATCCTATATTGATCTTGAGATTGATCAAGATTGATTAAAATTGATGGAAAATATTGAAAATGATATTGATCGATATTGATCGATATTGATCTTGGCAAAGCTTTTTCTTTGACAAGCTGAAGGTGTCAGGGCTTTCTTTGAAGCCATGTCTACAGCAGCATTCCAGGCTTGGCTTTCTTTCAAGCCTCTAAATTATTTCATTGATTCTGAGCTGCACAGCCATGGTGTACTTTGTGATGAAAGATTCACTGATTCTCGAAGCTCTGGTTCCATGTGAGCAGCTGTGGCCCAAGGTTGCAATGTATCCCATGAATGATTCTTGCTTGTATGTCCAGCAGGTAGCTGGGTTTTGGAAATGCAGCATCAAAGCAATGTGTGCCACATAGTGGCATTTAGGCGTCAATGTGAATCTGACTTCATCTCCAAAATGGCGGTGCAACCAAATGTAATGCTGCATGCTTTCTTTCAAGCACTTCTCAGCTTTTGTGCTGTCCTTCATGAAAAAATCATCTTCTGAAATGATGGCATAGAAATTTGCCATTTGGTGGCAGCATTCAGCCATGTGGGCAAAAGCCTCACATTCACTGGCCTTCTTCCAGGCCACCATGGCTAATGCTGGCATGAGATGTCGAATCTCTCCTGCATGGCCTTTGAGCTTTGCTGGCTGTGAAAATGGGTTTCTTTCAGAAGTAAACATAGAAACCACGAGGTTGTTGTACTTCTCTGTGATGTGCAATTCTGCGTATGCTTCTTTGAGTAGTGCCCATATTTTGGCAGTGTTGCCAGGCCCAACCTCTTTTTTGGATCCAGGTGGATATGCCCAGGCATGTAGGATGGAGCCTGCCAACCTGGCAGTCACACCTAAATCTAAAGTGTGCAAGACATCGAAGCACACTCTGTATTCTGGTAGGCCACCAGGGATTTTGAACAGAGTGTGGTTGGTGCAATGGCTTTCTTTCAAGCCTTCCAAAGATTTCATTTCCCATCCAGGTTCAGAGGTGAAATCAAAAGGGTTTTTCAGATGGTTTCCTTTCTCACAATCACAGAGCCAGCAAAATTTTTTGCTTTGCCAGTGGGGGAAACCTAGGTGATTTGCATAGTATTCCAAATCGCCTAAAAAATTGAACACCCAGAAGGAATGCCCCTCAGGTGTAATTGGCTTTCTTGCAAGCCTTTTCAAATTTGTTGGCAGTGGCCTCCCTTTCCAATCCACGTCTGGGTGAAAACCTTGGAAAAGAGCAGTGAAGCTCCAAGCCATGACCTCATGGATTTCCACCCATGTGTTGGAAGCAGCTGCTGACTTTGGCCATGCAGTTATGAGGAAAGAACTATCCATGGGGTGGCTGGGATGCATTTCCCTTGGGCCTTCTTTCAGGCCTTGAGGAGCATAAAGCGTGGGTCCCCAGGTGAATGTCATTAAGGGGTCTGTGGAAAATTCGACACCATCTCCATGAAGCCAGAGAGGGATGGTTTTGTGTTTTTGGCTTTCTTTCAAGCCACTGTCCCACAGCCTGGGGTCATTGCTTTTCAAGTTTCCCCAGAAAGCTTTCAACTTGTGAAGGCCAAAAAGCGAAGGAGCCAACTTAGGATAGCTGCTGAATAATTGCCAAGCCAGCAAATGTGGCAGTACAATGTGGCATGCTGCCTTGGTCTCTGGATTTTCTTCTTTGGCGTCCAAGGCAGGAACCTGAATGGAAATTGTTGGGCTTTCTTGCAAGCCCCCGTGCATGGACTTTTTCAACCTAGCCCTTAATAGCCTTACAAGGTCTCTATGGCAATTGCTTGGGTATTGACCAAAGGTTCCTAAGCCGCTCAATTCCACTATGCTCTCACATTGCAAGCCATCTGCAGTGGCTGCAAAAGCGATTTCTTGGAGCCCTGAGCTACTTAATTTCCCCAGGGACCAAAGTTGCAAAAGTTTCTTGCTTAGAGCCTGGCCTTCTTTCAGGCCTGGAGCTGGTCTTTTCCTAGTGTTTGTTAATTCTATTTTCTGATGGATGCCTGGCATGACCTTGAGCCATTAAAAACAGCTGCAGCATGCATGTATCTTACAGGTGAACCTCTTTACCCAAAAAAAGCTGCCTGGGGGCTGGGCATGCAAGCTGCTTATTTTTTTTGCGGGGCAACCATGCTGTCGCAAGTCAAGGCAAAAGTGGCCATGTCCCAGGCCTTCTTTCAGGCCAATCCTAGGCAGTGAGCAATTTCTTGAAAGCCTTCAGAGCTGATGCTGCTTCCAGCAAGTGGTTCTTGATGCCTTCCAGCTCACCATCTGTTGCCAAATCTTCCAAGCTGTCTCTAGATTTGATGAGAGCTTGCAGGACATCTGCACCCCAGCTGGCATCTTTGGCTTTCTTGCAAGCCTTCTTCAAATCAGCCACTCCTTTGCTGACCAAGGCCAGCATCTTCTTGACCTTACTGTCCTTTTCGTTTTCACCCACTTGTGTGGCTTCCTCTAACTTTGTGTGCCATTTTTTGTCTGCTTCCTTTTTTTGGCAATCTTAGTCTTCTCTGCCTGAGCTTTCTTGCAAGCTCTGCTGTCCTCCTCCTTGACTTTCTCTTCCTTTGCGAGGTGCTTCTGCTTGTCATCATTTCTTTTTTCTTTTTTCTGAGAGACCATAGCCTGGCCTTTTTTCAGGCCTTGCAGGAAACTTGCTGCAGGATTATGTTGCTCTGCTGAACTTTCGTCCTCATGTTCAGAAGAAGTTTCAGAAGGTTCTGACAAAGCATCTTCAACCTGGAAGCCTTTCTGTGGCTTTTTTCCAAGCCAAAGGTCATCCCATTCCTGTTTTGTTCTTGCTGCTGCTAAGGCCTTCTTGCAGGCCTTCAGTTCCTCACCTTGCAGTGCTATTTCTTGCTCAGCAGCAATCCTTTTTTTTTGCTCCAGTGTGAGCTCGGTCCTGATCTTCACCAGGAGAAATTCATAGAATTTCTTTCCCACCTTTTTCACTGCTATTAAACCACTCTCTACCCTGGCCAGGGCCTCCTCTTCCCCATACCAGTCAAGGATCTGCTTCCAGGGGACCCACTCAAACCATTCTTTCTCCTTCTTGGAGTTGGCGACTTCTTGGCTTTTTTTCAAGCCCCCTTCCTGGGCCTGACCAGTCTTCAGGAAGTGCAGAAGCAGTTGCTTCTTCTGATCCAGGACACCTGGGCCACCCATCTGGAGCCAAGCTGCTTTGGCTTCAGGGTCTTTGTTCCTGGCTCCTTCATATTTTTTCCACAAGGCAGCTCTGTCTTTGTTGGAGATTTCCTGCCAGAATGCAGCCTCTGACAGGTGGCCTTCTTTCAGGCCTTGGATGGCTGCCTGTGTTTTTTCGTGAAGTTTGAGCCTGGAAGAAGTCAAAGTGGCACCAGCCTCAGAGCCTTCTTTCAGGCTTGCCTGGGCTGCCTTTGCTACACTTTCTGGAAGCATCTTTGCTGCTTCCTCTATCTCAGCCTCAGCAGCTGGTTTCCCTTCTTCAGAAGCATCTGGTTGGTGGCCTTCTTGCAGGCCCTCTTGCTGTTCCTCAGCAGTTGCCCCCTGGGTTGCTTCTTCCTGAGTTGCTTCGGGCTCAGAAGCTCCTACTTGGCCTTCTTGCAGGCCTTCTTGCTGCTTCTCCTCAGCACTTGTCTCTTGTGTTGCTTTCAGTGGTTGGCTTTCCTCATTTTTTTCATTCAGTTTCTGTGTTTTTTTTTCTGCCTTTCTTTCAAGCCCTCAAGGGATGCAGGCCTTTTCTTGGCCATAGCCTCCAAGTACGGCTGGGGATTTGAGTTCTGAAATTGCTACAGAAAAAAAAGGTTTTGGTTTACATGAAGTTTGAAAGTTAACATTAAAAAAAAAACATGCGTGTGAGTTTGCCAGACCCCAGGGAACTCCACAGGATGGTTTCGCGCAGGTTTCGCGCAGTTGGGAACTCCACAGGATGGTTTCGCGCAGGTTTCGCGCAGTTGGGAACTCCACAGGATGGTTTCGCGCAGGTTTCGCGCAGTTGGGAACTCCACAGGATGGTTTCGCGCAGGTTTCGCGCAGTTGGGAACTCCACAGGATGGTTTCGCGCAGGTTTCGCGCAGTTGGGAACTCCACAGGATGGTTTCGCGCAGGTTTCGCGCAGTTGGGAACTTCACAGGATGGTTTCGCGTAGTTTAGGCGCAGTTGAAGTTATTTTTTTAAATTATAACATTTTTATGACATGCTTTTTTTAATTAAATGTTTCTTCTTTTTTCAAATAGTATTGGCTCTCTTTCAGTTACCTTAACTATTATTTCTTATTATTTCATTTTATTTTATTTTTCAATATTTTATTTACTTTTAAATTTCTTATTATATTATTTATTATCTTTTTTTTCTTTTTTATTTATTGGTCGCTGAAGCAGGGGGGCCTTCTTTCAGGCCTGTCCCCTGGTGAGACAGCCTGAGGTGGTTTGGCTTTCTTTCAAACCTGTTTTTGGTTACTTTTCCTCCTTGTGGCTTTCTCTCAAGCCAAGTTTTTGTGCATGCCAATTTCTTCCCTGTGGCTTTCTTTCAAGCCTCACAGGTCAGAAGCATCCACCTCTTTCTCTCTTTTTTCTTTTCCCTCCTCCTGCCCCTCCTCCTCCTCCTTGACCACTTTCTTCCTTTCCTTTCGCTTCTTGGCTGTTTTCCCCTCCTCCATATCCTTGTCATCTTCCTTCTCCTTCTCCTTGGGCTTCTCTTCCTTTTGGGGCTTCTTCTCCTTCTTTGCAGCTTCCTTTTCCTTGGAAACCTTTTTCTCCTTTCGCTCCTCCTCCTCCTTTGCAGCTTTCTTTTCCTTGTCCTTGGGGTCCTTTTTCTTTGGCTGCTCCTCCTCCTCCTTTTCCTCTTTCTCCTCCTCCTCCTCCTGCCAGTCTGGCTGCTCCTCCTCCACAAATACCTCCTCCTCTTCACTGTATTCATATGAATAAGAAGAGGAGGAGGATCTGCCGGCTTTTTGTTTAGGCCTTCTTTCAGGCCTGCTGCTGCTGCTGTCCTTCCTTTTTGGCCTTCTTTCAGGCCTGCTGCTGCTGCTGTCCTTCCTTTTTGGCCTTCTTTCAGGCCTGGCCCCTGGCCCTTCCTGCAGGACAACCCCTCTGGCAGGGCTGGGGCTCATCTCCTGCTTGCTGAGCCATGCAGCCTTCTCTTCCAAGAAGGCTGCCTTCTCTTCCAGCAACTGCTTTCTTTCAAGCATTAGTTGCTCCTCCTCCTCCTTCACCTCCTTCTCCCTCTCCTTGATCATCCTCCATTTCCTGCTCCCTTCATGCAAAGGCTGAACCTTGTCTTCCTTAAAGCCTTCTTTCAGGCCCTTCTCTTTCCTGGCTTGGACTTCAGGGTCTCTGGCCCTCAAAGCCTTTCTCGCTTCCCTTCCCCTCTTGCCCCTGGCTTCTTGCCTGAAAGGGTCCCAATCCTCCTCCCCTGGTCGATGCTCAGGGACAAAAGCTGGCCTTCTTTCAGGCCTGCTGCTGCTTGCACCTGACCCCTTTTCTTTGGCCTTGGCTTTGCCTTTGCTTTTCCCTTTTTGGCCTTCTTGCAGGCCTTCCCTGGCTGCCTCTGCAGGGCTTGGGCCAAAGAGGCGGCCCTGTGTGCTTCTGGGAGCCTCCTCCTCCTGTCTCCTCTGCCCCCTGCGCAGGGAGTTGTCAGAGGATGATTCCTCCTCCTCATCCCTGTCCCTCCACCTTCTCTCCCTGTCTCTCAGCTCCCTATCAGGCTCCCTTTCCCAGCCAGTCCAGGTGTCGCCATCATCCCAATCCTTTTCATGACCCCAGGGCACATAGCCAGCATAAGCTCGGCCTACCCACCAGGTCATGTGGTTTCAGATGGCCTTCTTGCAGGCCTTGAGCTGGAAGATTTGCAAGTGATTGAATTGCTGGGCCTTCTTGCAGGCCTTAAGTTGAAGTGCGCTTAGAGGTTGAAAGGTGCCCCCCCACCTATCTTCGGTTTTGAGGCTCAAAAGGCTGCAGGCAACAAACAGATTGCTTTCGCCTACTATGTTAAACCCTTTTTGGTGAACATAACACCCCTGGAACACTCAGGTCATAACCTAAGTACAAAAAGAATGACAGTGAAAACGGTGAGGTTTTTCTTTAAATTTCGTTGGCTATCCCCTGCCCCACAAAAACAAACACTTTACCCAAACCCCAAACCACAATTTTTTTTGGCCAAGAAAAAAGTCCTGGCCATGTGCTTTGCACATGGCTGCGGCCTGAACCCTCCTAGTGGCCTTCTTTCAGGCCTTGCCCTGTTAGAAAGGTGTATGCCTTCTTTCAGGCATTCAATCTACATTTTTGACTAAATCGTCTCTTTTTTCTTTCATGTTTTCCTTTGTTATGTCCTCCTCCATGGCCACCTTTTCCAGCTCCAAAATCACAGCGTGATGCCCACCTCGGAAAATCTTTCCCATTCTTTTGGTGCAGCCAATGATGAGCTTCCAATCTCTTCCAAAAAGGCCCATGAGATAGGCTTGGTCCTTGCCCATGACTTTTTTCACTGCTGACCATGGCCTTCTTTCAGGCCTTGGCCCTTCTGCTGCCACCAATGGTTCTGGCTGTGGTGCTGCTTCTTTTTTTGGTCCTTGCTTCTCTGTGGGCCTTCTTTCAGGCCTTAAGCTTTTTGCCTTGGGCAAGGAAGCTTTCTTCGAAGCTGGCTTTTTTTTGCATTCTTTGCTGGCTGGCTTTTTTTGGATTTCTGACCTTCTTTCAAGCCCTGGTCTGCTCTCAACCAACTCTTGGGCTGCCTCTTGTGCAGCTTTATCCAGCTGCTCCTTGCAGCTTACCCTCATTTTTTCCAGAATTGTCATGTTTCTGGAAAAGCAATCTTTCACTTCTTCTTCTTCTTCTTTTGCAGCCTTTGGAGAATTGAGAATGGCTGGCCAGCCATGGGAGTCCACAGAAACATCTGAAACTTGTAGTTTCAAAGTTCTGGCCTTCTTGCAGGCCTGCTCCTCGGGTTCTTTCAAAGAAGCAGAGCTGGAACTTCCTTGGCCACCAGCCTCTGCAGCTTTCGCAGAAGAAGTCTCCTTGGCAGCTTTGGCCTTCTTGCAGGCCTGGTCATCCTCAGGACCTGGGGCTGCTTTCTTGCAAGCATCTGGCAAATCCACAATTTCAAGAATGGATTGCCTTTCAGCCCCTGTAGCTCCCTGCAGGCACTGCCTTAGTTTCGAAGAGTCTCTTTTCAGTCTTCTCACATGGCTGAGCAAGCAGACAAATTGACTTGCAAGCTTGCCTGCCCACAGGTCATCCTTCCACTCACTGTCGTTGTGAGTGTACCCATATTTGAGGATGCACTGCTTCAACTGCCCAGAGGGAATTTCTCCTTCTGAGATTTTGTAGAACTCCTTGACATACTTTGCATTGTGGTGCAAACCTGCAGAGCTCACAGCTGTGCTTACACTTTTCTCCTGATAGTCACCAAGTTTAAAAGCATCAGCACCTTGGGTGGCCACAGCTGTCTCAAAAATTTTTCGCAAAGCATCCAAGTCCACTGGTGGCACCAATGACCTGCGTGCTCCACCCTTGGATGTCATGGCTTTCTTTCAAGCCCTAGCAAGCTGAAAATCCTCAGATTCAAATCCCTTGAAGATGATTGATCTTTCAAGCCCACAACACACCAGCTGAAACCCCAAAACTTTGAAGAATGGCCTTCTTTCAGGCCCAGACCAGGCAATGAGTTTAAACCTGCTATAAGCAAAAACAGCTCTGGCACATATGAGTATGAAATAGAAGCTTGCGCGTTGTGAATGCCTCTAATGGCCCCCTACATGCTTGAAAAATGGATCTGACAATTGTAGCTGAAGACTGATGATGGTCTTGACTTGCTGATGATACTACTATATGCTATTGATCATGCTATTGATCGATATTGATTGGAAATATTGATCTTTTCTTTCAATCCTCGATATTGAAAAACATATTTTCCTGGTATTGAAAAAAATCATTTTCAATATTATTGATCAGGATTGATCAGGATTGATTTTTTTCAATATCGGATCCTCAGGGTCCAACCCTGCAGGCAAAGGCACCAAGGACACATCAATAGCTGTTTATTGGCGTTCAAGCCTGCCGTTTGCCAGGCTTCAAACGCTCCAAACCCTCCAAACGCCTTTTTGGCACCCCCAACCCAAGGCCTTCTTGGCACCTGCAACCCTGCAGGCAAAGGCACCAAGGCCACATCAATAGCTTTTTATTGGCGTTCAAGCCTGCCGTTTGCCACGCTTCAAACGCTCCAAACCCTCCAAACGCCTTTTTGGCACCCCCAACCCCGCAGGCAAAGGCACCAATGCCCATATCAATACTTAGATGGGCACTGGAGTTAGTTAACTAGTTAGTAAATGGATTATAATTGGGATATAGGGGGTTATATCTTCAGTTGCTAACCATTTAGCTAATCCCATGGCCCATCTAAGTAGCTTTTTATTCCTCCAAACGCCTTTTTGCCACCTCCAACCCTGCAGGCAAAGGCACCAAGGCCACATCAATAGCTTTTTATTGGCGTTCAAGCTTTTTATTGGCGTTCAAGCCTGCCGTTTGCCACGCTTCAAACGCTCCAAACCCTCCAAACGCCTTTTTGGCACCCCCAACCCCGCAGGCAAAGGCACCAAGGCCCATATCAATAGCTTTTTATTTGCGTTCAAGCCTGCCGCTTGCCAGGCGTCAAACCCTCCAAACCCTCCAAACCCTCCAAACCCTCCAAACGCCTTTTTGACACCTCCAACCCTGCAGACAAAGGCACCCCCAACTCCGCAGGCAAAGGGACCAAGGATCAATCAATAGCTTTTTATTGGCATTCAAGCCTGCCGGTTGCCAGGCGTCAAACCCTCCAAACCCTCCAAACCCTCCAAAAGCGTCTGTGGCACCCCCAACCCCGCAGGCAAAGGCACCAAGGCCAGGGCCACATCAATAGCGTTTTATTGGCGTTCAAGCCTGCCGTTTGCCAGGCTTCAAACGCTCCAAACCCTCCAAAAACCTTTTTGCCACCCCAAACCCCGCAGGCAAAGGCACCAAGGCCCATATCAATAATTTTTTTATTGGCGTTCAAGCCTGCCGTTTGCCAGGCGTCAAACCCTCCAAACCCTCCAAACGCCTTTTTGGCACATCCAACCCTGCAGGCAAAGGCACCCCCCAACCAAGGGACCAAGGATCAACCAATAGCTTTTTATTGGCATTCAAGCCTGCCGTTTGCCAGGCGTCAAACCCTCCAAACCCTCTAAACGCCTTTTTGGCACCCCCAACTCCGCAGGCAAAGGCACCAAGGCCACATCGATAGCTTTTTATTGGCGTTCAAGCCTGCCGTTTGCCACGCTTCAAGCGCTCCAAACCCTCCAAACGTCTTTTTGGCACCCACAACCCCGCAGGCAAAGGCACCAATAGCTTTTTATTGGCGTTCGAACCTGCTGTTTGCCACGCGTCAAACCCTCCAAACGCTCCAAACGCCTTTTTGGTACTTATTGGCGTTGAAGCTTGTCGTTTGCCAGGCGTCAAACCCTCCAAACCCTCCAAACAATAGATTTTTATTGCATTGAAGCCTGCCGTTTGCCAGGCGTCAAACCTTCCAAACCCTCTAAACGCCTTTTTGGTCCTTATTGGCGTTGAAGCCTGCCATTTGCCAGGCGTCAAACCCTCCAAACCCTCCAAACGCCTTTTTGGCACCTCCAACCCTGCAGGCAAAGAGGCACCAAGGCCACATCAATAGCTTTTTATATTGGCGTTCAAGCCTGCCGTTTGCCACGCTTCAAACGCTCCAAACCCTCCAAACGCCTTTTTGGCGTTGAAGCCTGCCGTTTGCCAGGCGTCAAACCCTCCAAACCCTCCAAACAATAGCTTTTTATTGGCGTTGAAGCCTGCCGTTTGCCAGGCGTCAAACCCTCCAAACCCTCCAAACGCCTTTTTGGTACTTATTGGCGTTGAAGCCTGCCGTTTGCCAGGCGTCAAACCCTCCAAACCCTCCAAACAATAGCTTTTTATTGGCGTTGAAGCCTGCCGTTTGCCAGGCGTCAAACCCTCCAAACCCTCCAAACGCCTTTTTGGTACTTATTGGCGTTGAAGCCTGCCGTTTGCCAGGCGTCAAACCCTCCAAACCCTCCAAACGCCTTTTTGGCACCCCCAACCCCGCAGGCAAAGGCACCAAGGCCCATATCAATAGCTTTTTATTGGCGTTCAAGCCTGCCGTTTGCCAGGCGTCAACAAACCCTCCAAACCCTCCAAACGCGTTTTTGGTACTTATTGGTGTTGAAGCCTGCTGTTTGCCAGGCGTCAAACCCTCCAAACCCTCCAAACAATAGCTTTTTATTGGCGTTGAAGCCTGCCGTTTGCCATCAATAGCGTTTTATTGGCGTTGAAGCCTGCCGTTTGCCATCAATAGCTTTTTATTGGCGTTCAAGCCTGCCGTTTGCCAGGCGTCAAACCCTCCAAACCCTCCAAACGCCTTTTTGGCACCCCCAATCCCGCAGGCAAAGGCACCAAGGCCCATATCAATAGCTTTTTATTGGCGTTCAAGCCTGCCGTTTGCCAGGCGTCAAACCCTCCAAACCCTCCAAACGCCTTTTTGGTACCCAGGCGTCAAACCCTCCAAACCCTCCAAACACCTTTTTGGTACCCCCAACCCCGCAGGCAAAGGCACCATGCAAGGCACATATCAATAGCTCTTTATTGGCGCCGTTTGCCAGGCGTCAAACCCTCCAAACCCTCCAAACGCGTTCTTGGCACCCCCAACGCCGCAGGCAAAGGCACCAAGGCCACATCAATAGCTTTTTATTGGCGTTCAAAGCCTGCCGTTTGCCAGGCGTCAAACCCTCCAAACCCTCCAAACGCCTTTTTGGCACCTCCAACCCTGCAGGCAAAGGCACCAAGGCCACATCAATAGCTTTTTATTGGCGTTCAAGCCTGCCGTTTGCCACGCTTCAAGCCTGAGGGGCCAGGACATTCAGTGCTTGCAGAGGAGGAACACCCTGCTGCTGAGGGGGCACACACCCTGGTGAGTGAGGATGGTGCTGCGTTGGGCCGGGCGCATCCGCATCTGCCTCCGTGACTGTGGAGCCAGGTTCTGTCGATCCTGCAGAAGAAGGCAACCTTGAAACTGTGGTGGACGATACCTTGGAGAATGAGGGCGTAGCTGTGCCTCCACCTCTGGAAGATGGTCCGCTAGAGACTGTGCCATTATCTACATCGGCAGATGTGGCCACCTCCATCACTGAGGAGGAGAGCGTTTTTGAAGAGCACGACTGAAGGGAGAAGCCTTGGGCCTAGCGTATATGGCCGATAGGATTTTTTCAAGGTCTAGTCTTTAAGACCTGGAATGGTGGCAGCCCGGGGAGTGTTTCAAAGATACTACTCATGGCAGCCACCTTGTAGCCTGACAGGCGCCGCGCACCCTCTAATTTGGCACGCTGCCAAAGGGGGAGTGCATGGAGAATTTCACAAGCTAGCCTTTTGGCTATGAACAAGTGTAGTCTCTGTACATGCACTATAAACACAGACTAAGCTGTGGTAGATAACAACAACCTCCTACCGCAGGCTTCTTTTGCCCGAATTAAATCTGGTGTTCACGCTGCTCCGCAAGCAGTCTGAAAACTGGGGTATTCCAAAATTTGATAGTTGATCATCATGTTTCCCATCAATCAAATGATGTTCAAATGGCCACGACCACATTTTCAGACCCCGACATTGGTGGCCTGGCAAAATGGCGAATGTGAAAAAAACTTTGAAAATGATGGAGATTTTCGATGTTTTCCCGTATTTTCCAAAACAAAGTTACCAGGTGTTTGGTTGGGCAACTGAAAAGCATCGATAGAAACGCCTTTCTGGGGAACAATTGTGGCGATTTTTGCGTCAAGATTGAACTAAAATCGTCGCGAAAAAAAACAATGTTCATAAAATGAAGGACGCAGGAGAAACAATTCCCCTGCGGGCAGAAACCACCCAAAGCCGCAACAATCGTGGACACATTGCCCGCTAACCATCACTAACCTATCTAATTTAGCAGCAGGCTTACCCAACGCAGGTTGACCCAGTCCTTCACACCTTTATAGTTGAACTTCTGATACAAGATTTCCAGCGCAGGAGGATTCATGCAGCTGCCCCGCAACTTGTCGAGCATCTTCTTGGTTGCCGGGTTCTGTCCTTGTTCGATTTCAGCACTCTGATTGTTCCCGCCTTCTGCTTCCTGGAAAGCATCATTGCTTGCATGAACTTTGGCAATTTCTGATTGATTGGCATGAACAGCGATGAAATCTGTTGAGTCCTCCACAGCCTTGATGAGTTCAGCGTCATCAAGCTGAACTTGTTCATCACTTGCCATGTGCAAGGTAACATCTTCCAGAGCCCGCCGCCCACATGTTGAAGTGGTATGAAACGCGAGAAGGCACAACAGCAACATGCCGCTGAGTTTTTCGGAAAACACAAGGGTTTGATTGATTTGTTTTGATCTGAATCAGCTGCCCGGCCATGCCATGTACATCCATGTACAATATGAACACCGGCGATTGAGCCTGGCTAAATGAGCTGATTCCTTCCAAATGACCCCTCCGGTTTCATCAAACATCTCAGAAATGTCCATGTTGCTGGCGGGAAACTCATCTGGTTGGTGGTTTTAACCATCTTGAAAAATATGAGTTCGTCAATGGGAAGGATTATCTCATATATTATGGAAAATAAAAGCCATGTTTGAAACCACCAACCAGTCATGATCAGCCAGCGATTTTCATGGGAAAGTTTCCTGACCAGGCGCCTCAACCGAGCATCGTGCAAACAGCCCATGGGTGCTCACGGACATGACCCAATGTATGCACTGTGCTTTTTGCTGTGCCGAAGCTTTAAGATGAAACTTCCATTTGTCATATCACTTCGTTTCTCAAAGTTCTGTTGAAATTGTGGGGAGTCATGAAGTTTATTTAAGATAACAATGTGGGTAAAACAATAATAAACCATCCCCCAAATCACCATAAATAGGTGGTAGAAACCTTTCCCAAATGATCCCAAATGGGTGGTTTATTATTGTTGTTTCCCTCGTTATTTAAGTTTCCGAAAAATGTGTATCTAGCGGCTTCTTGCTCTGGTTCCATGATGTTCCATGATGTTCCATAGCCATGTTCAAAGGCAGGAGCCCTCTTTTTGCAGCTCCCACCTTGAGCTGACACCTGCAGCGTTCAAGTCGCAGCTGATTCAATGAATGGGTTTAAGGGAAATCTACCGGAAACAATGGTCTTTTCCATGTTTTCCTATCAAATATAGGGAGGTTCTGCATATATTCCCTTCAACCAAGCCTGGGATAGATATCTGGGATAGATATCGAAATTCAACTTCGAAGCGCCGGCGATTTCTGACTTCACTCGCCCCGCAATCCTCTAGGGCCCTATGGTCAGTAGACTGTTCTGGGGCTTGACACCTAGCTCTCGACTTCTCAAGGTGGAATTCAACAGCAAACGTTGGAAAAAAAAACTGAGGCTTTCCAACTTGGAGCCTTCAAGTAGCCAGAAAAAATGGACACAACTGGTGTTCCTATTTCGATTCAATTTGCGATTTTAAACCTATCATATGATTTTAATTGATCCACTTTTCCCATGAATGGATTTTGCATTGGATTTCCCCTATATGATGAATAATCAAAAGTGCTTGTGCATGCTTGTGCCACAAAGTGCCGTCCACGCAATCCACTTGGCGCGGGCGCAGCTAGTTTGTTCCGTTTTCACGGGCGGCAATGGACTCAGTCTGGAAAGAGGTGTCCTGGAGTGAAATCTGGGAAGTTGCAAAAAACGTTTCACTATTCACTCATGAAAGGAAGAATCCGTTATGCATTTGGGTTATCAACCTATCATATTGACTGGGATGGACATCCAACCAGAAATCAGAGATAGTAATCCATGTCCCATTTGAAACTCACCCGAGCTCAGAATGGGGGAAGAAACATCTTCAGTCATTCAGTCACCAATTGTTTTGGTGTGCAGCGAATCTTTGATGGGATGTTTGCCCCTGTAGCACGGAGATTTCCAGTATACTGATTGCAAGTGTTGCAAATGGTCCAACTGGCATGAGTGCTGTCTTGAAAAGACAACAAGCAACGGTTGATACATGTTGATACAACCCTGTTTTCAGACTAGGATCGGGTCTGCATCCACGACTCACAACATCAACGGAACGGTGCATTGCAATCGGACCCGCTCGTCAACCCAAGTTCCCCGACTCCATGGAGTCAGTTAAAAAAAGGTGAGTTCCAGTTCGAGCCGCTAGAAAACCCGTTCTGGGCAAATTCTAACACTCTTACCTTTGGTATATGCACTTATACACGGAATTATAGATGTGTATATATATATGTGTGTGTACAGTATATTCTTCTACTTCTGATATATCTTATGAAATCTTATGATTATTTTTTCTCAAACCACAAGTAAAAGGCGTTTTCATGTGTTTTCATTACTTCAGCACAAACATGGTGAGCTTGGCCAGCAAGGACCTTAAACTTAAATCCATCGCTCCATTGCTGCCGTCCTTTGGGATCTCGTGAATGGGCGAAGTAATCCTCGAACTCGAAATCGCAGGGCCTCGGAGATTGCGAGAAAGGCCATGGTGAATGTGGATGGTGGTTTTTATTCCGGAACCACTGAAGCTTTTGAACTCTTCGTAGGATGAGTCAGTTGGAAAAATGGCCTGAAGTTATAGTCCCTCAAGTCCCTCTCGAAACAGGTTGGTTTTTGTTCCAACCCAAATACAAGAATGGATCAGAAAATGGACGATTTTTTGAGGGACCCAGCTTCTTGGACAGTCCCGCTGAAACAAGGTGCGCCAGACCAGGGAAGCTGCTGGGGCACTTGCCAGCTATACGCTTTCAACGACTTCCTAGCTTAATCTAGCTTAGATGGTGTCTTTCCGATTTCCACCGTCAGGAAAGAAAATGAACCATGTGATGCGACAGAAAAAAAACAAACATTGAGTTTAGAGAAGTGAGCCTCTTATTTTCCATGGTGCCCTGATAATTCAGGTGGAATTCACCTGGTGTTCTCAACTGCAACCTGGGTGAAATCCAGAGACCAACTGGACAAATAAAAAAAGTGAAAAGGGCTGTCGCCGCAAAGCAGAACATGTTAATAGCCCCAACGCTTCTAAAGCGAGCAATCAACCAGCAGTGCTTCGCATTCGTTCTCCAGGTTGGGAACTCCTCAGCCATCGCATAAGCCTTAAGCGCAGCCATGGTAGATCAGCCCATCTTCATTGGTGTATGTGAAGGCAGTCACACTCTTGAACTGCACGTCAGCCTGCTCTGCTGCAAGTCGAAAGAGCACTGCGTAGCGCTGTGCTTGGGACCAGACCGATTTCCTCTTTCTGCTTCTGTTAATACCATCGACATATTTCACCTCAACAATGGCAAATCGCCCATCACCAGAAGCAAAGACAAAATCACCTTGACCAGTCTCAAGGCCATATTGTACCGCCCATTCATAGAGGTACAGATAAGGAAATTTCGCCCATGGATGCGGCATTTCCTTGACTAGCTGCTGGCCCAAAAAATATTCAGAAACGTTTGCGATTTCTCGCAGTATTGAGTCGCTGTTCTCTCGGAGGTTCTTTCTGTTCATCTTGTCGAATATCTCCAAGTTTTCTTTGGTCGGCTGCACAAAGAAGAGCTGTTTGGGTCTTCTTGGCCAGTCGTGCGGCAGAGAAATGCCACGGGACAGGAATGAGGCCAGCCTTCTCTCACCGCAGCCATGGATCCGCCCCAAGCAGCTCAACATCGCCAGGTCCGGCGGCAGGGTGGTTTGAGATCGGCTGCTGTGGCGAGTTTGGTGATGATTGCGTCCTTGGATAAATCTATATACAGATATATATATATATAATATCAATCTTCTACCAGAAGGGTTGATATGAATGGTGGTTTTCATTCCCGAACATAGATATCTTGAATGGAGGTTTCCTGACTCTACCAATTCAGTGTGGAAACCCCACACCTGTATATATATATATATTATAATATAAAAATAAAAATGACATTAACTTATATATATATATATTAGGTATATTTCTTTAAAATCAATATATATATATACATATATATATATACATATATATACATATATATACATATATATACATATACATATATATATATATACATATATATATATACATATATACATATATATACATATATATATATATACATATATACATATATACATACATATATATATGTGCAGTTCTTATGACAATAATTTTGTACTATCTTAAAATATTATATGAATATAAACTATTAATATATGTAATTATCATTATTTTTACATTATTATGATTATTCTTATTAGATATATATATATATGTTTTATATTTTTTATGTAGAATATTGTAATAATATATATATATCTTATTATATCTATAAAGTAATATCTCAATATATGTTATGGTATATACATACGTATATGTATGAATTACATCATATATAATTCAATTAGATGTTATATGCATAATATATATATAAATGTGTGTCTTCTACCGGGACTTTCAAAATCTTAGGACATGGGTGGATCACGGAAAGATGAATCTGGTGGGGACATAGAAGTTGGTAGTAACCTTTCTTGGGGTGACCTTTCGAAGAAACCCATCTGGCCTGTCAGGCGCGCCATGGCGGCGCGCCCAACGCGAGGGCTACCAATGGACTCCCAAAATACATCATGTTAATCCTGTAACCAACCACCATAGACTTTAAACAAATGAAGAAGTAGTTCTTTTGTCAGATGTCATTCGTAGTTTTTACTTTCCAGGGTCTGACTTCAGCAGCAGCACCTTCTTTTAAACTTAAAAATCGCAGCTTTCCAAATGCCAAGCCAGCTTGGCCAGCAGTGAAATGGCCGCGATGGATTTCCCGTTTCGTTGGCACCACAGCCATTAGTTTCGTCTGGGGTTGCCAGCAAGCGACCCTGAAGAAATCCATGGGTCCATGGACTTTTCCAAGGATGCAACATCATTAAAATCTCAATGGCTCTAGACTCAAGTTCTTGAACTGATGGTCGGAACCTTAAAAGTTAAAAGAAACGATGGCCCCAACACTTCAATTCAAGCCCAGCTTTGCATCTGAAAACAGATCGCTTCCTATTCTTCCGCCGGATCTTCTTCGAGGCGCTCCTCAATGGTCTGATAAACACAAGCACGGTAGATCAGCCCATCTTCATTGGTGTATGTGAAGCCAGTCACACTCTTGAGCTGCACGCCAGCTCGTTCTGCTGTAAATCGAAAGAGATATGCGTAGTTCCATGCTTGGTCCCTAACTTTCGTCCTCATTGCAGTTCGCCTTCGTGCAACCGTCTTTCCACA